TGAGGGAAGAAATCGTGAATTGTAAATGAAAGGTAACAGTAACTGAATTCTGAGGTACAGAATGTGTCCCTAGACCCCTATTAACTAAGATAGACTTGGTCCTGATTAATCCCTCACATCCCACGTGAGTATATGATGGTTAAATGAGCCCCACAAACAATATAACTAATACAGCTCACTGTAGTGATTATAGTGCCAAGAGTGTCCTGGTGCCCCTCTGTGGTTTAATATCAAACTTAAAAGAACACTGCAGGCATTACATAACAATTTAACCTAATTGAATTGGTTATAATACATGGGATTCCCTGGCGCTGTCCCTCAGTGTTAAGGCATTGTGAGTAGTTTAACACTAAATAAGGTGGATGGCCACTCACAGCCCGGCCCCTTCTGCAGGTGTGGCTAAGGCAGAGATGGTACACTTCCTTCTAGCCATACCAATTCATACCAGCAGTGGGTGCTGGCACTCAGCCAATCACAGCCCATTGCCGTTCAGGTTAATGCTTCTTTATTAGTTCAAGCAACACATTTAAGATAGCATTAAAGCATTAAAAACGGTATAATGCTATATAGAAGGACTGCAGCAGGAAACTTCAAACACTATAACTACTTCAATGAGTTAAAGCAGTTACTGTGCCTACAGTGTCCTTTTATTACTTGGAATGGTTTGATATAAACTAAGAACTGCCCCTTTGTAGGCTGCTTTTAAAATACAAAGTTAACACTTCCATATGAACAATGTCAATTCTGTCCAACCTGCATGCCATAAATTGGCTGAGAGTTCTGGGGGGCACACCTCCTGAAATGACATGGTTAAAAGATGTCCCTATAAATCCCTGCTCTCCTCACTTCCTTACAAAGGTTACTTAACCCATCATGTAAAAGAAACCCATTCTGTTCTCAGGAACGCGTGGAGAATAGAGCCTTCCTGACTATTTCTGCTGAAATCCCGATTATTTAGAAAATCGTTTTAAAAAAAGCTTCCTGGGATTTAAATCGATTCCAGAATGAAAAGGAGGAGATTGCCATAGTTTTCTAAAATAACTAAATACAATAGAATGTAATAGAACCTAATTTTTCTCTGAACTGGATTAGAACATTTGGTGTGGGTCCTTAACCCCTTAAGGACACATGACATGTGGGAGATGTCATGATTCCCTTTTATTCGAGAAGTTTGGTCCTTAAGGGGTTAAACTAACCCTCTGTGCTTTATAAGACCCCAAAATTAAGTCAAAGAGAACCCTCTGTAAAAGTCTAGAATTCTGAATGGTGACTTGTAACGATGGCTAATATTCAGTTAAAATGGTTATATTTGTTCCACTTACATTTTCCCAAATGTTATCTAATCTCTAAAAAGATAAAATTAATGTACAGATTATTTACAGAGCCTTACAAATAACTTTCAATAATACATTCTTTTGTGTTGTTAAGTAACTATAAAAAGCAATAGTATATATGTGTGATCGGTTAATGTTTCATGTTAGCCACATTTACACACATTTCAGAATAGCTAACATTTTAATCATAACTTTACCAAATATAAGCAAATACTGGCACGTGCATGAAACACCGGATTGCCATGAACCAAAAGTCAAATTTTTGTAAAATTTAGGCTGAAAGTTTTGACAACAGCTGAGTTAAGAATTTTTTTCAAATTTACCGCCGCTAACGTGTTGGCGTATCTGCTACACAGATGGCTTTATACAACTTTAAATTTATATATTAGTTTTTATTATTCTGGAATTTAAAAAAAATCACAAGAGTTACTGGACTAAACGTTGTGATAATGAGAATTCAGTAGTTCTTGTACCATATTGCTACAGTGCTCTGAAGATATCATTACATTAATCAGCTCCTTTTAAACATCTGCAGATTAAGCTCTTATGTAATTAGGTTTAAACCTGTTATTAAATATACTTGTGTATTATTTGGTACACACCCATATAAATAAACTATGCGAGCTGCATTTAATACATTTCATATAACGCTGTAAACGCTCTTATTTTGCCTTACACATGGTATCGATGTGGGTAGACCTCCCAAAACTAACTATAGCTTTTGTAACTTTAACCTGTCCGTCAGAATTTGTTGTTGCGATAACTGTTACGCAATGTACTAAGAGCTGTGGAATTTGCAGACGCTATGTAAATAACATTTAAAAAAAACTTAATGCATTCATCAATTGGCAGATATAGGTGTTTTTTTAATGGATTAATTATAAACCAAACAGAAAAATTTGGACAGAAATAGCTCTGTTACAAAAGTATCCCAATTCGGCTTTTTTAACATTTTGTCTTGTTTCGGCCTACTTTTCGCAACTTGTGTTTCAAGTCACCGGAAATTGAAATACACACAAAAAATAAAAAATATCAGTATGTCTGCAAAACTATACATTTTATTAGACCAGCACAGTTTATTCCTAATATTATTTTCATAGTAATGTGTTATGTTCTTAAGCAAGACAGCAGCCTTTCAAAAGTTCAGCTGTAATTCTTAAAAAATAATATTAAGATTCCACGCACATTTTGCATGAAAATTACTGGAGGGACAAGATATTTCTTATAATTCCCAAGACAGGAAACATGACATTTTCTACCCTGCTCTAATGAATACTTTATTATGTTATGATCACAGTACAGTGTCAGACATATTATACCATGGTGTACTTTAAATTGCTGTAGAACTTGTAACAGTTACAAATAAAGCATTGCTACAGTGTTGGAAAGGAACAGAATATTTTTAAATTAATTAGGATCTAGAAGAAAGGCCACTAAAGGTCAAACTTTTACTTTTGTTTAAAGTAAAACCTGTACGGTTTCTGCAGGTGCCTATGTAATATATTCACTAGAAAAAGGTACCAGTTACCTCTATCGCCACCTGTTGGAAGAGTATCATTACAACATTCTACGATGTAGGTGAAAGAGTTGCAAATTTCATGACAGGATAAGCACATTTATGCTCATTTATGGCAAACATAATAATTCTTTTTTGTTTTTTTTTTTGTTTTAAAGAACATTGTAGTGTCAGGAACATAAACAATGTATTCCTGACACCATAGTGGTAAAATAGGTATTTAGGCTCCCGGCCTCCCTTGCACTAAAAAAAGGTGTTTAAGCTCACATTTGTTCTAGCACTGCACCAGTCTTGCCACGGCTGGCCCCTTCTGCTTGCAACTCCTTGGCAGAGATTATCAAATTTCCCATAAGTAAGCATTGAGAGGCTATTGCGCATGCGCGACAAAATGCTTCGCTGCGCCATTCAGACTCTCCTCACAGAAATGCATTTAATCAGTGCATCTCTATGGGGAGTGTTCAACATCTCCATGGACAGCGTGAAGATGCTGAAAGCCCACTGTGCAGTACTGACCCAGGAAGTCAGCGTTTACACAAAAAAAAAAAAAAAGCCGTCAGGGAAGGCTATATACACCTAGTGGCGGAACTACCGCGGTCGCAACTGCGACAGGATCTGTCACTCCAATCACTGACACCTGCAACAGTGGTGCCCACCGGCTAAGTAACCGCCGGGGCCGCATTGAAGGGGACCATTGGGTGGCCCATGCTATCAGGCAATGAATTTCCAGGGGCCCGTTCAGCGCAGCGGAGCTTTAACAGCGCAACCAGGCCCCACGAGATCACATCACAGCTGGGAGGAAGTGACAGCCCCGGTCACTCCTCCCAGCTTACACCGGGAGCCACGCGGGAGGAGGAAGGAGAAGAGGGAGTCAGAGTGGGAACTCTGACTCCCATCAGGATGAGCTACTGGATCCCAGGAAAAGTCACCGGAGGGTAACTAAAACTTTTTGTATAAGTGTCTGTATATGTCTGTGTGTCTGCCTGTCTGTGTGTGTATGTATGTGTGTTTGTATGTATGTGTGTGTTTGTATGTGTGTGTCTGTATGTGCATGTCTGTGTGTATGTGTGTGTCTCTGCATATGTGTGTGTCTGCATGTGTATGTGTGTGTCTCTGCATATGTGTGTGTCTGCATGTGTATGTGTCTGCATGTGTGTGGGGGGGGGAACGTATGGGAGGGTGAGGATAGACATATGGGGAGGTGGCGGGGTGTAGACGTATGGGAGGCCCCAGGGAAATTTTTGCACCGGGGCCCCTTGGTTTCTAGTTACGCCTCTGTATACACCAGAGCAACTACATTAAGTTGTAGTTGTTCTGGGTGACTATAGTGTCCCGTTAGGGAAGTGATAGCAATGTGATAATCAATGTAAATCAAATAAACTAATAGACTTGTGCATTCAGTTTCAAGCGATTTGTCAGAATTCTTGACAACTGGTTATTTTATCGAATTATGTGACTCTGATTCACCCGACAAATCAGGAAACAAAGTAAATAGACAGTTTTTTTTCCCTTCATGGAGCCAAAAAATGATGATTAGAGGAAAAAAATCATGATTAATTGATGCTTAGGGCGGGGACAGTCATTAAATGTTAATTTTATTTACAGTTCAACTGAAGTGACCAACAGCAGGAAAAAAGGAGGAACAGTCAATTATTCTCCCTTGATGGTGGAAAAATTATACCTATCCGTGTTCTGCAGAATATATTCATAATATTTATAAAGCAGTGCACTGATTGGACAATTTTCACGCCCTTCTGGTTTGTCCAAATAGTTTTTCCCAAAAAAATTGTCTAGACGAAAGTAGTCCAATACGAAACGCTGCATGGACGAATCCTGGAATTTTTCCATTATGGTAAGTTTAGAAATTATAGAATATCAAGATGGTAAAAAGTCAAATAAAGGATCTGCGTCACATTAACTTGGTAACCTCCACTCCATAACATTGTCATGAATGTCCGTGATCCAGGGAACATGACTGTGAGTGATTTCGTAGAATGTGCACATGAACTAGCGTTTTTCGCATAAAATGCATAAAGTGGTTTTGATAATGTGAAACAATTTTACCCTACCCTTTCATGGGAGGATTGGTGCTTGTTTTAATGCTTTTTCGTTAGATTAAGGTTTTTTTTTTTTAAACCTTGATCTACATGAATGGGAGACCTTACTTCAGCAATGGCGTTATCTTCATTGGCCAACTTCAGTTTTATTTGCATGATTTCCATTTGAGTGCCATAAAATATCTCAAAATACCTGTTGCTCCCTTTGCTAAAGCAAAGTTTATACCTACAATAACTACTGACAATTGAGCTAAATAAGAAACACCACTTGTCTTCACCAATGACTTCTGATCGTCCAAACTTATCACAAGAGAAGTAGGGTAGCTAGTAGACTTGTGGACTGTGAAAAATTGTTGCACATACAGATTCCAAGCATCATGACCATTTCAAATCAATTAAGTGGTCGTGGACTTGAAGTAACCACATAAGCATAGTCTTGTCACTTAAGCTCTGATAAAGAGGGATCATGGCCAGATACCAATATTTCTCTTTTGGACACAAGAACCATACTTCCAGTGGGAGAAGACCATTGTCATCTGGGTGATGTTGGGTCTTCTGAGATGTTGAAGCTATGAAGTTCGCTTGAGATGAGAGTATGTGAGTATGTACCAGCCTTTTAATGTATGGATCACTGGTCAGTATATATCTAATTACACCAGGTGTACATTTTTTTTTGCCAATGACCCAAATTATGAACATGGCACAGCATGGTGATCCATCCTTTAAAAGTGGTAAATTAGCCAAGTGTTCATTTTTTAAAATTATAATTAACAAAATAATCTATTTAAAATAACTAATAGATTTAGGATTCATCCATGTGGAGCTTCAGTTTGAACAATATTCATCCATACAATCATTTTGGGATCAACCAAAATGGGGCAAACACTGGCCAATCAGTATACAGCAAACTATGTATATTATGTATATATTTTGCACTACACTGATCACAGACCAAGTGAGTTGAAGTAATCAAAAAGAGGGAAAAAGAGTTGGAACAGTAACAACTCTCTATTTTGTACTCTAGCAAATTATTACAACCTAAAAACACTAAAAGTGCGATACAATCAGATTTTAATACGTGTTCTATTATTTTAGATTATGATTGCCAAACTAAAAAATGAAAACAAGTTATTATTAAACATTGGCAATTTTTATTAGATTGTCCCATATTAGCTTCATTTATTCCCAAAGCACCTAGTGTAAAGAACAACATTTGAAGAATAAATTAATGCATAGTTTAAATAGTTTGAGTATGCAGTAAATTATATATTTTTAGACACTAATAAAGGATTTTTTAAGTGAGGTGTCTGTAGAATTTGTTAAATAATAGTTACATCATAATGTTTTGATTAAATAAAGATTAAATGCAGAAATTGAATTGGTCATTCAAATCTAAAATTATTTCAAGTGTATTTATTTTTGTATTTTTACTTAAATTCTCTTCTTGAGGAGTACGTATGCATAATATGTATGTAAATGAAATGGCTTTTTTATGTTTTTTTTCGATTGAATTAATTAAAAAATATATATTTGGGTATAGAAAGAGTCTTTTTGTGTTTGCAAACTTCGAGTATTTATATTATAACATTAACTGCAGAAAGGATATGCATTTATGTGTATTAAAGAGCAAATGTATTCTACATATTGTTTATGATTGGTGGTATAGTAACTATTAAAGCGGCACTGTCATGCCAAAGTTACCTTTCCCCAATCGCTTCCCCTTCTCTTCCTCTCTCAGGACCTGTTCTTCATTTCTTCCTGTCTGCTCTAGTTTTCTTTTAAACATAAGACAAAGTAGGTACTACTTTGTCTTATTGAGATTTCCTACGCTTGACCAGCTTTGACCCACTTCTCGCGGTCAAAGTAAATTCCCCACAAATCTAACCTGATCTTGCGATGTTTCCTTTCACTATTCCCCAGTGTCCTGTCATATAGATAGTAGGGACGGTGGCGAAACTACCGAATTCCATCCTAACAGAATGAACAGTTTGTTCATTCGTGTTAGAATGGCATTCGATAGTTTCTGTTCGTATCGGAACTTCATTAGAATGAATGAAACTCCGATCCTATTCATGCCATGGCTGCATCTTGCAGCTGCATAGTAAATAGCTCCCTAAATCCCACATTATTAGGGAGCTATCTACCAGCCAACTTTACTAATACTAAGTAAAAATTACTTAGTATTAGTAATTTAGCTGCCCCTACTTGCTATGCCGCAAGTAGGGGCATGTCTACTAAACAGTGAGCAGCCAGTGACTGCTCACTGTTGTAAAAAAGACCCCCTCACACCTCTAATGACCTATAACAATTAACGGAGAAGATATAGTGTCCTCCCCCGGGCCCCCACTTAGTTTCTCCCCCCAGCCCCAACACTAAGATAAAATGGGGGGGGAGACCTATTGTCATCCCCCCACCCACGAGCAGACAATAGGTCCTCCCCCCCATTGTCCTCCCCCGGGCCCCAAGATGAAAAAGGGGGGGAACCTATTGTCCTGTCCCCCTGTCCCCCACCCACCACCTCTAAATGTAAAAAAAAAAAAACCCTGGGGGGGGGGTCCCCACCCAAAAAAGTACATTTCTACCTACCCCCCTCACCCTAAAAATAGCGAAGGGGGGACAATAAAACTAAGTCCCTGTAAATAAAAATAAATACTTACCATTTGAAGTTTTTTTTCTAATATCTTCTTTTATCAGCCCCAAAGAAGACCAAATTAAAAGCCTGTCGAATTTATAAAATAAAAAAAAGACCCGAGCGGATGAAAAAAAACCACAGAAAAAACCCATCCAGATGCTAAAAAAAGAATCCATGTTCACCCAGCCAGGGCACCACGCAGACTGAGCTCCGCAGGGCGGGGAAAGGCTTATAAAGCCTTCCCACGCCCTGCAATTTGACTCAGAGGGTTCTGATTGGTTGGTTTAAGCCAACCAATAAGAGCGCTCTAATAGGTAAATAGTGAGCCTTACCTGATTGGCTCACTATTTACCTATTAGAGCACTCTTATTGGTTGGCTTGGAATCCAACCAATCCGAGTGCTCTGAGTCATTTATATATATATATATATATATATATATATAGACAAAACCAAAAATGCTTGCACACCTGGTACCAATATAGTTCTTGCCCGGTGCTGATCCAGCAAAAAGATGCAAATGTTCCAGTAAACGGACAGCACTCCAGGGACTTTCAGATGCAATAAAATATAGCTTTTAATTCAAATTCAAAAATAAAAAATACACATCAACGTTTCGGCTCTCCTTTGGAGCCTTCTTCAGGATTTATGTTTGTCATCCTGAAGAAGGCTCCAAAGGAGAGCCGAAACGTTGATGTGTATTTTATATATAAATATATATATATAAAATACATATCAACGTTTCGGCTCTCCTTTGGAGCCTTCTTCAGGATGTTATGTTTGTCATCCTGAAGAAGGCTCCAAAGGAGAGCCGAAACGTTGATGTGTATTTTATATATATATATATATATATATATATATATATATATATATTCTATGGAAAAAAATGTATGCCAGCCCTATAAAGCATTGTGCCACAATCATGTTTGTGAGTGTGTATGTATATATATATATATATATATATATATATATATATATACACATACACACACACACAAACACTACCGTGGCACAGTGACTTATGGGGTTGGCATACACTTTTTTCCAGGGCTGTTTTGCATTCCCAGTCTGGTTCTGACTATACGTGATCTGCAACAATCTCTAGGTAGGTGGTCAAAGTTGTCAGGGGTCTCCCCCTACCTGTCGGCGAGCGGCGTCTCCTCTCCGCTGCTCGCCGCTCGCGTCCTCCACCCCTCCCAGCGGCAGCATGTATAACGCTGCACGCTGGGAGGTCGCAAAGTTATGCAAACTCACGTGACCAGGCGTTAAAGCAACCGTACCACAATCACAGTGGGAGGCGTAGATATCTCCCTCGTGTGATTGTTAATTCTGATTGGAAGTTATCCAATCAGAATTAAGCAAAGGGTATTTATACTTACCTTTCCTGTCTCTCAGTGCCCTGTTGTGGTCTTGTGATACCTGTAGTGCAGTTTTCTCGTGTTGCTCTCTGGTTACCGATTATTTGGCTCTTTATTCCGATTTTCCTGTATTCTCCACTCCTTTGACCTCCCGTTTTCTGGCTCCCTTTACTTGGCTTGTCACCTGACTATTCTTAGTGTGCTTAGTCCGGCCACTCTAAGGACCGGTGTAGCATCTTTCCTCTCTGTGTCCTGTTAGCGTGTTAGGTTCCAGAATCGTGACAAAAGTCGTATCCACATGAATGCCAAGACCTAAGGTTTCCCAACAGAACATTGTCCAGAGCATAACACTGCCTCTGCTGGCCGGCCTTCTTCCCATAGAGCATCCTGCTGCCATCTCTTCCTTAGGTAAACAACGTGCACGCATCCAGCCATCCACCCAATCTAAAAGAAAATGTGATTCATCAGACCAAGCAATCTTCTTTGATCCATGGTCCAGTTCTGATGCTCATGTCCCCTTTGAAGGTGCTTTTGTAGGTGTACAAAGGTCATCATGGACACTTTGACTGGTCTGTCACAACACAGCCTCATATGCAGCACTGTGTGTTCTGACACCTTTCTATAATAGTTAGCATTAGGTTTTTCAGCAAATTGAGCTACAGTAGCTATTCTCTGTGATTGGACCAGACGGGCTACCAATCGTTCCGCACGTGCATCAATGAGTCTCTGGGGTGCCCATGACCCCGATTAATTGGTTTTCCTTCCTTGCGAACGTGTATTGGTAGATATTAACCACTGCGTACCAGGAACACACCACAAGACCGTTTTGGAGATACTCTGACCTAGGTGTCTAGCCATCACAATTTCAACGTTTTGGAGATACTCTGACCCAGGTGTCTAGCCCTCACTATTTGGCCCATGTCAAAGTCACTCAAATCTTTTTGTGTGCCAATTTTTCCTGCTTCAAACACCTGAAATTCAAGAACTGACTGTTCAATTACTGCCTAATATATCCCACCCCATTGACAGGAGCCATTGTAATGATACAATGAATGTTATTCACTTCACCTGTCAGTGGTTTTAATGTTGTGGCTGATCCGTGTATAATACAGTATGTTCTGTAGAATGGGACTTTCCAGTCTCATGGATTTTGCAGTAGAACACTGATGACGCAGGTGAAGAATTAGCAAGATTAGTCTCTCAAGATAGTAGAATCTGACATTTGAATTATATTGATATATAGAACCAATACGAAGTCTTCTTGTGACCACAACATTCTGCGTAGTTGCTATGGAGGGTGTAGCTTGGGAAACTTTTAGAATTTTTTGAACAGCATGGTTGCTGAAGGAGATGATCTCAGTTTATATTCACTTTGGAACATGACGTTTGTACAGCTGCATCTTGAAACTGTGAATCCCAAGAACACATGCTGCGTAAACTACAAGTTTAACTTGTAGACATTTTTTTCTCCAACCTCACAAATGGGAGGATTTGCAAGTTTGGCCATGGGACAAATTTGCTTCTCTGGCCTCTGATAAACCCATACCATAGATATAACGCACATTTATTTATTCATAAAATATTTTACCAGGATGGATACATTGAGATTTCTCTCATTTTTAAGTCCACAAAACATTGAATTGTTACAATAGGATACAATATTACAAAAATACAATATACATATATACATACACACATATAAAAAATGTAATACATAACAGGTAATAAATATATTCAACCATGACAGGTGCATTCTGTGCTGAGGTATATTGCCATAGACCTCTTAAAAGAGTTTAGAGTGAATGAAGATTTGACTGTGTCCCTGAGGTTATTCCATAATTGCGGTGCTCTGTAGGAGAATGAGTATCGAGCCACTTTATTTTTGTATTGCGATATGCTAAATATCATGCTAGTAGTAGATCGGAGGTTATAGGAGGTGGGAACAACTGGGGAGAGCATTCTACTCAGGTAGGGTGGGAGCTTCCCAGAAATGCCATGGCACAGAAAAACACTAGAAGATCAAGGAGGGAAAAAGATTTACGTAACACATAGATACAATATACTGCCTGAAAGCAAAACATTGTCAGATTTGCCAGCTATATGTACACTAGCAAGTGTTAACTCTCTGTGAGCAGAGGTTACAGTACCACTATGACCGTGCACTATACCTAATTCCATGTCAAACTACAGGAAACGTAATCACATCTTGAAATAATAGACTTGTGCACAGCATAAAAATTTGGTTAGTTCGAAGCAATTCGACCAAAAATAGTTTTTAGTATTGGAAAATCCAAAATGTGTTCATAAGCGGTTTTGTTTTGGGCTAAATTTCATTCATGCAAACAATTCAGTAAAATGATTTGGGGACACAATATCAGACATTTTCAAAATGCCAATTATGAACAGTGGCGTCGATGCGTGTGTGTGGGGGGCTGACTGAGTTAGAGTCCCATGTGGGCCACTTAAAAGCCCCAGATCTAAATTTTTAAATGTATTACGGTTATTCCTGAGTCCACTATTCTGCTATTTGAGCAAAAGCAAAGAAAAAAAATGACAAGGCAATTAATTATCCATTTAACCCCTCCACTGTGAGAAGAACAAAGCTTTCCTACACATCCGGTTTGTAGTATGAGTGACCTCAGGATGTAAAGCAATCAAAAAGGATATCGTAACAATATAAAGCATATGCAATTTTGCACCAAAGGTGAGGTGACTCCTTTGAAGACATAGATATGAGGGTGTACCCTAAACAGGCTTTATTCAGTCAGTCAATATCCATATGATCTACCTATAAACACATATGAAAAATTTTTCAGCACACCTCCGGGCTACTGATGCTACATTGGTCTGGAGTGTGCCACCAGGAACAACTTCCTTGTTTTCGAAGAAGGGATCCATCTTGCTCATTAACTGGATGAAAACAAGATAACCTGTCCAAAAATTGTGACATCCCTAAGTGGTTTGACTAAAATTAGCTGGCCTATTATTGTATAATCCTCACACTTTAGTGAACTGGTCAGAAGACCGACTATGGATTGCCCTCTGATGTTCCAAAATTCTTTCTGGCATGTCTAAAGTACGCCTTGAGCAGACATTCTATCATAGAAGGTGTGTGGGAAACCCTGTTTTCTCTTGCTTGTGGCTTGCTTTCACACCAAGGTGGAAATGCACGGGAATTCTTCTGCAACACTCAAGAATGGTTGTCACTATTGTGATGCCATCGAGAATTGCAGCTTTCCTTACAAGACGTAGGAACAGCACACACCTACAAAGGGACACTCTCACAGAGCTTTGACCATGTTAGCAGCTATGTTTGTAACCATAAAACCAGCATGCACATTGGTGCCCGATTACTCTCCTAAACAAGTTGCCATCATTCGTCTGATTGCTTGCAAGATGTTTTTTTTGAAGTGTGGTTTAACTCCATCAATTCTGCATGTAGCAAGCGAGATCAAAAGCTACTATCCTATAGTATGCTGCTAAGGTTGGACCTACCACCTATTACTACCACCACCATATCCAGGCACTGTGGGATGCCACCACTGTCCATCAAGGAGAGGGAGACATGTTGGCCTGTAGGAGCTCTCCCTAAATCTGTGGTAAAGTCCACTGACATACCTGCAGCCTTAGCCAACTTCACCTTCTATACTACCACACTGGAACGGTATGGTGATGGGAGTATGATCCAGGTGAAGGAATGACACCTTGTGGAGCCATGGCCTGTATCAGCTGCTTGACTCGCCTTCTTTCATGGAAAACAAGCTCCCCTACATTGGTCAGCTGGGCAATCGGGCAGGTGTTTTTGTTAGCCTGCATTAAAGCCAACAAAATGTGCTAGACCGGGCAGTTGGATACATCCATGGGACGAGGAGTCTGACTATACCTGTTCAATACTAGCACTATCCTCATTCCACCTGCTCTGCCTATCAGAGCTACTGGTGGTGATCAGATACAGCATCAAGGGAATTACTGCTTCTAGCCTCAGTAACAGACATGTGGTAGCTTTCCAGGTGTAGGTTAAGACTGCTACTAGTAATATGACTCTAGAATATTACATGTTCTATGTTCCTATTTATATTCATAGTGGGTATGGATATCTGGATTGACATATTATTACTGGTATTTATATAGCTCCAGCATATTCCGTAGCGCTGTCAAAAGGGGAGATTTAACAATAAATGATAAAATTACAAAACCTTACAGGAACAATAGGTTGAAGAGGACCCTGCTCAAACGAGCTTACAGTCTATAAGAGGTGGGACATAAAACACAACAGGACAGAAGGTAGCAATCAAACAAGGTGGAGTAAAGTAGAGCTGGAGGAGAGAGTAGAGTGCTGCCCTTTAGAAGAGAGCAAGAGACAGGTATGTGAGGTAGAGGTTACTTTGGGAGGCCATAAGCTTTCCTAAAGAGATGGGTTTTGAGACACTTTTTAAATGATTAAAGACTAGGGGAGAGTTTGACGGTCGTAGGCAGGCTATTCCAAATGAAATGAGCCACCCGGAGAAGTCCTGCTAGCATGAGTTGGCTGTACAGGTGCAAACAGCAGACAGGTGGTCATGGGCAGAGCGGAGACACCGAGAAAGGGCATACTTGTGGATCAGTGAAGAAATATTGTAGGGGTTAGAATTGGTCAGTGCTTTATAGGTGTGGATTAGTACCTTGAATTGACTCCTATAAGATACAGGAAGCCAATGTAAGGACTGACAGAGGGGTGAGGTGTGTGAGGAGCGACAGGAGAGAAAAATCAGTCTAGTTGCAGCATTCATTAAAGACTGTAGCGGGGCAATATGAAGTGTGGGAAGACCTATTAGGAGAGAGTTACAATAATTCATGCAAGAGATTACTAGAGCATGGACTTAGTAGCATCTTGTGTAAGAAAGGGGTGGATGTGGGCTATGTTTTTAAGGTGGAATCTACAGGATTTGGTAACAGACTGGATGTGAGGCCAAAAACATGTATAACGCCAAGACAGCGCGTTTGCAAGGATGGACTGATGTGGGTACTTGAAGGGAGAGCGAAAGAGGGGGAATCAATATTAGGAGGAGGAAAGACAAGGAGTTCAAGCAGGAGGACATCCAATCAGAGATGGAAGAAATGCTAGCAGTGACACGTTGCAGGACGGCAGGTGAGAGGTCCGGGGAGGAGAGGTATATCTGAGTGTCATCAGCATACAGGTGGTATTGGAATCAAAATGAGGTAATACGTTTGCAAGACAAGATAGATCTGATAAGGTGAGACGGGACAGGATCAAGCGGGCAAGGGGTGGGTCGAGAAGAAAGGAGAAGCACAGCCGCCTCTTGTTCAGTAGCATGGGAGAAAGTCTGAAGGGTAGGAAAGGCATGACCTAGGTGTGGTTGAGAAATAGAGGGGCAAGGTGGTGAGAATGCTTTCCTTAGCTGTAACATGCAAAGCTATCGGCTGTAAGGTTAGTTTGGGGGTGGTCACAGCAGGGCAAAGAAGGGCGTTAAAGGTATTAAAAAGACGCCTGGGATTGCGGGAGCATGAGCTAATGAGGGAGGAAAAGTATGACTGTTTAGCGAGGGCTGCGCTGTATGAACGCAACACGAATTTGTAGTGGAGGAAGTCAGACTGGGTGTGTGACTTCCTCCAGCAGCATTCAGCAGAACGGGAGCATCCATGCAGGTAGCGTGTTGATTTAGTGTGCCATGGTTTACAAACACAAAGCTACTACTTGACTCTGCTGCTATATCTATGGATGCTGATCGTTTGTGAAACACGACGCCTACCCTCCCTGAATTTGTTTTTAAGATTAGGATGTACCATTGATGATGAATTGGGTTTGTTGTTATTATATATGGGGATATGAATGTGTATTGTGTTAACTGAGGTTTGTGTTTAAAAATGGGTTGCGGTTTGGTGGATTTACTACTAATGTAATGCTATTGTGTGTGACTTTAAGAACATACTACACTGCACACTGTTTAGTGTTCACACACTTGCACTGCACACAGTTAAAGAAAAACAGGCTTTCAAAACGGATACAGCACACTCACAAGAAAAGAAAGTTACTAATATTTAATGTTCACTTGTGCATTAAACTGCCACAAATTGTATTGCAATTTGCAAGGCATCGGTAGTGGCACTGAAGTACACTGCAAACATCATGTTCCTTTTTTTTTGGTGCCTTTCCAAGAACTTCGAATCACAAATCAAATAAAATGGCTTGTTCACTGTCCATTTATTTTTGTTTTGTGATACAGTCATATGACAATTCTGAGTTACAGACTTCAGGCGACCTACGATTGCCCAGAATTCGGATCACGAATCACAATTTGTTTGAACTTGAATGGATGTCACGTTATCATTTAAAGACACACCTTTCTCTGACTACCAATATTGAATATCAGACCTCAACATCATGTCCAACGCTACAAGCAATGCCTAACATTTTCTCAGCCCCTTAAAACACACATTAATGGCATTTTGTTTTTGGCATGGTCACAAGGTGTGTGAATTGCAGAGTGCCGAGCACAAGATGGCTTAACTCAGCTGTCTTGCTGCTCATACTGTAGTGGATGAGATTTTATGCATCCCCCTAAAAAGTGATTAAGAACTAGTTAAAGCAAGCCATCTTGCAGCTCTACTGTATTCCATGCCACTGGTTGGACATAGGGTATGCAACATACCGGGTGGCTTCAAGCATTGAGCATCTCAGCATAAATTGTAACTGAAAGCTAGCTTTCCCTGGCCCAACCTTTATTTTGTGACTTGCAAAGGGATGTTTTGAGTCCGTTGTAATGAGTTAATAAATATACAAGAGGTCCTTGACTTTGATCTTTGGTGTATGGCTCAGAAAAGAAAAAAATCTTTTAAAGATAGTTAGAAGAAAACAAATTAAAGTTTGCATTAAATCAACAAAACAGGGTATACATGCTGTGCTACAATAAGGAAGATAGGCAACTATAAATGACACGCGTTGAAAACAAATGTTTTAGAAGATTTATACAACAAGCTAATCATTTCCCAGAAAAAGGTTCAATGTTACATAAGAGTTCCCAAAACACAATATAAAATGACAATGAACAAGAGGGCATTTAATGTAAGAGACAAGAGAATGAAACCCTTTAAACATGATTGTCCTTGTTTAAACCCTTGCGTTGCACATGTTCCAGAGTGTTTTATTGCTTTTTGTTCACATTATCTGTTTAAGGTAACGATTTCTTCCAGATGTCTGCAGATTACCTTTAAGATATGATGCTCAATGCTTACTTCTGTGGTTTTCTGGCTTCTTTCATTGAAATCAAGTAAATATCTATATTAATGTTTTTTAGGTCTTTATAAAAGACAGGAGTAAGGAAATCTAGGGAATGGGCTGACATCTTTGATGTTGTCTATTCCCAAAATACATTGCAGATAGCGTTCAAATCCCATTCCAAAGCCTCCATGGGGGACGGACCCAAACTTCCGTATATCTAAATACCTGTTTAATGAGACAAAAAATAAGAAAATTAAATGGTAGAAAGAAAAAAACAAAACAAAAACAGAATACAATAAAGTTGGTTGCTTATATGTTAGATTGTATGTTTTAGAAAACTGTTCGGTTTTATTTTTTAGAAAATTAACCTAATATTTAGTATTTAAATCAGAGGTGCCTAAAAGTGAGATAACCATATGACTACATCTGTTCTACCAGCCTTTAGAATAACGAAGCATCATGGAAATTGTAGTTTTAAAACATCTGCAGATCTATCTTTTAGGCCTCTCTGATCTAACGCTTGGAGAGAATTCCATAGGTTGTTGATGTTATGTTATTATTTATATAACAAATTCCGCAGCGCTTTACAGTGGCTGGACGAACAAACATGTAGTTGTAATCAGACAAGTTGGACATACAGGAACAGAGGGGTTGAGGGCCCGGCTCAATGAGCTTACATGCTAGAGGGAGTGGGGTAAAATGACACAAAAAGGTAAGGACTTTTGCAAGACTGACAGTTGCAAGAGAGGAATCAGTTGGGGGCTATTAACAGTTTAATTGATACGCTTTTATGAAGAAGTAGGTTTTTAATGATTTTTTGAAGGAGTGGAGACTGGGTGAGCATCTAACGGAGGAGGGAAGTGAGTTGCACAGGAACGGTGCAACCCTCGAGAAATCTTGAAGGCTAGCATCAGAGGTGGGAGTATGGACAGAAGATAGACATAAGTCTTCAGCAGATCGTAAGGGCCTAGATGGGACATACTTGTGTATTAGGGAGGATAGATAGGTGGGAGCAGCATTATGAAGAGATTTGAAAGCAAGAATCAAAATTTTAAATTGAGCTCTATATCTTACAGGAAGCCAATGTAGGGACTGATAGAAGGGTGAGGCGTGGGAGGTGCGGGTGGACAGGAAGATGAGCCTTGCCCCTGCATTCATTATGGACTGTAACGGCGCAAGTTGGGAGCACGTAAGACCACTGAGAAGTGGATTACAATAGTCAAGGCGAGAGAGGACAGTCGAATGGACCAGCACCATAGTCGCATCTGGATTTAAGTAGGGTCGGATGCGTGCAATGTTTTTGAGATGGAAGCGGCAGGATTTGGCGATCGACTGAACATGAGGCATGAATAAGAGGTTGGAGTCAAAGAACACCTAGACAAATAAATCTAGACAAGTAAAGGAGAAAGCGAACAACCAACAGGTGAAATTAGACAGTGAGACAGCGATGATGTCAGCTAACTTTAAATAACACTGTATGAATGGCATTCATATGGGAGCAGTGTGGGTCTAAAGAGCCAGCCTCACATGTCTGATGTGGTTTGCTTTTCAGATCTGCTCCCCTCCCACTTTGTAAGCAACAATCATGTGTTAAAAGCCAAGGGCTTATTGAACAAAACACAAAACCTTCTCCCCTCCAACCGAAACACTGGACTTTCATTGGGTCATACAGACATTAGGCTGAAAGAGGCAAAAAAAATAAAAATAAAAAAATAAAAAAATGTTGCTCTCCCCCATTCTACACGCAGGTTACATATATGCCCAATTCAATGCACAACCAGATTCATTATACAATAGGAACTGATGTTTTTTGGAATGGTGTGATGGTGATTGTGTAGTATTTTCCTTTAAGTTTTAAGCTTCTCCAGATGTCTTACAATTGGGCTCAAACTACAAATTCGTGACATTTTTTTTCTCTTGTGGTTATAGTGGGACATTTTTGATCTTGAATCGCAATGGAAATATGGCTCATGTTGTCAACAATCTAGAGAACTCAATGTAAATTAGTTCTGAATCTTTTCACTAATGGATATTTTTTAAGGATGTGTTTTGGGAACATAAAAAGATGAGTGAAAACAGAATATAGAGAAATCTTATACATACACAGAAAACTGTATATACAAGATTCTCATGGCGAGATTCATGTTCACACACTTGATAGAAGCTGGGCTTGACAAAGGCACCATTTGTTGTCGAAACGTTGCCAGATCATTGACTTGGTTGGAGTAAATTCCCTCAATGAAGAAGTAATGTTGCCAGGTTTTTTGTATCTCCGATTACTGAAAACTGAAGAGCAGCAGTCCTGTGAGTTCCCTTACTCATTATGTTATGCTATAAGTATAGACAGATATATCACACAAGTTATGTACCTGTGAACTGTGGCCACATCGGGAGAGAAAACCACACTTATTACAAACGCTGTAGTAACACAATGATCAAAGTGTATCGATCAAAGTGTTCTGAAAAGTGATGCTTAAATTCCATCATTATTTTGATTGTTTTTATTATAGTGTTTTAAAAGCGATTTGAGAAAATTGCCAGTTTTTGCAGAAATTTCCTTTTCAGAAGACAAATTTAGAGTGGTTGAAAGTAAAACAGACCACTTTTCTGTCGGAAAAAATAGACATATAAATACATGGCAATTTCATAACAAACTTGAGCGTATTTAAATATGATGGTTTGGGGCGGAAACAACGGCAATAGATCAAAATCTGAAAAAAAATAATACAAAAATAAGACCAAACAAATTAAGGCAGAGAATTAGGCTTTAAAGAGTGGATACTTTGATGACTCTCCCCAATATTTCATTTAAATCTTGTTGACATCTTTACCATACCAGTTAAAAAGGAATGTGATATCAGATTAACACACTTTACTTACCATTGATACGTGTCGGTTAGTCCTAATCTGTTAGAAAAACAAAACAAAAACAAAAACCAACAGTGAATGGCCTAGAATCAAGAAGAAAAAAAACTAAAAACTTTCTAAAACAAAAACACATGCACGTAGTCTGGTGTGATAAAAAAAAACCTGTAAAGAGTCTTATGCGCAGAAAACCAAACTGTAACAAAGCATGAAAAGCCCCTTTAATTGAATTTGTGAGCAACATATTACCCAGTGACATGGCGACAGGACTTGCGAGTAGAAATGTACCCCTGGTGTGTGTGCCATGCCCCCTTCAGACTTGCAGTGGCTTATAAGGCCTGACTAGTAGCGCAGGACATGACATCTTAAGCCCTGCCCAGTGTGATTTAAAGTACCTCTCTAGTCGAGACAGCAAGACGTCAAATCGTTCTTCTCTGAGACTCCCTCCAAACAGCTCTCCTATGCCGGGCACAAGCAGATCCACAGCGGCGGCCTGTGGAAAACAGGTCTCCAGGTCAACATGGCGGGAAAATACAGGGGAGAGAGAATACTCTGACAATCATATCTGTGTATATCCAGTTATCTGTCTGCTTATACAAAGCAAATAGGGTAAGGGTTTAATGATCAGAGCATTAAAAATCCCCTTCCCTAAAAACAACACAGAAAATGAGAATGATGACATTAAAGCATATCAGTAGGCTTTTGGGACTGAACAATAAAATATGTGAAAAGATCAATTAGCATTAGGAATTACTCAACATAAAACTGTAATGGGCAATACATTGTTTCTAAAGGAATATTTCAAAAACATTCAACTGAAGAGGCACCATAATCACTTCAGCATAATGAGTGGTTATTTTGCCAGGAGAGCATCCCTGAACTCATTTTTTTCAATATTTAAAGGAAAACTTTAGTCACCAGAACAACTACAGCTTATTGAATTTGTTCTGGTGAGTAGAATCATTACCTTCAGGCTTTTTGCTGTAAACACTGTCTTTTCAGAGAAAATGCAGTGTTTACATTACAGCCTAGTGATAACCTCACTGGCCACTCCTCAGATGGCTGCTAGAGATCCTTCCTGGGTCATGGCTGCCTAAAATGCATCCAAACATTCAGTATCTCCTCCCTCTGCATGCAGACACTGATCTTTCCTCATAGAGATTCATTGATTCAATTCATCTCTATGAGGAGAAGCCGATTGGCCAGGGCTGTTTTTGAATCATGCTGGCTCTGCCCCTGATATGCCTCCTTGTCAGTCTCAGACAATCCTATGGGGAAGCACTGTGATTGGATCAGGCCACCACTTCTGATGATGTCAGCAGACTGCTTGTTTTTCTGAGTCTAACAGCATGCAGAGTTACACCTTCAGGCTTGAATACAGTAAGATTTTACTATTTTCTAGGGAGGCATAAGGGGAACAGAATGGCTAGATGGTGGATTTAACCCTAAAGGGTCAGGAATACATGTTTGTGTTTCTGAACTTATAGTGATCCTTTAAGCAAATAGGAAAGAGGAACTCATAGTCCCATCAGTCAGAGAGCGGGAATAACACTTCCCAGATCTCTCGGACAGGGTATGTTGATGTGGAGGGACTTGCAGGAGCTGCTCCCCAAGAGTGAACACTTGCAAGTCCAAACACTTTTCCTGTCTCTGCGTGGATGAGCATGAGCTTTCATCACAGAGACTGGTCACTTGCAAGCTCTTGGTCCCGGTTAGCAGTGCCTGTCAGTCCCTCCATTAGAGCATTGACCAACTAAGTGGTATGAGCCTAGAAGTGTAATTTCCAGCTTTTCTCTGTCAGATCTAGTAGGCGAAGTTCGCTTAAAAGTCCTATTGTGTTAGTTTGATTAACTATTAAAAGGAAATGCTGCAAAGATGTTATCCTGGCACCATAACAACTTCAGTAAGCTGTAGTAGTAATAGTGCTTAGAGTGTCCCTTTAACCTCTGAAGGACACATGACGGAACTATTCCGTCATGATTCCCTTTTATTCCAGAAGTTATGTCCTTAAGGGGTTAAATTGCCAGGGGAGAGTTTGCTGAAATACCGAATTTACCCCCTTAATGACAAGCCATAACCATCACAATATATAGAGATTTGCCTAACCAAATGCATTGAATGGGTGGGAAAAAAATTGCACAAGGTTCTATGAAAAGTTTTAATAGGCAGCCTATTTAATAGGTGAGAAATCTCAAAACAAGGGACACTCTGAGCACCTGCAGCATAATAAAGAGGGCTTACTGTCCCTGCACTGTGACAACTGTAAGCACTGCCATTTGTGAGAAGTGGTTATCTTTAAATCTGTCAGTAAGTGTGAATATAGAGGCAGTCAAACAGCTACTACAGGCACTTTCTCATCATGATGACACCGAACACAGTTAAGTCTACCTTAGCAAAGTATTGTCCTTTTGGACATTTGTTATAGGGTCCCAATGGAGAAGCATTTGATTGGCTGAGATCATCTATCCAGATCTTTTATGAAGGAGGAGAAGCAACAGTGGCGAGACTGGCACATTGCTGGATGATAGGCGAGTTTGACATTATTATTTAACTTGCTATAAGGAGGACCTAAATCTAAAAGGCACAAGGAACACTCTAATGTTATAAATATACAAGTATTTACAGTTGCAAGAAAAAGTATGTGAACCCTTGGAATGATATGGATTTCTGCACAAATTGGTCATAAAATGTGATCTGATCATCATCTAAGTCACAACAATAGACAATCACAGTCTGCTTAAACTAATAACACACAAAGAATGAAATGTTGCCATGTTTTTATTGAACACACCATGTAAACATTCACAGTGCAGGTGGAAAAAGTATGTGAACCCTTGGATTTAATAACTGGTTGAACCTCCTTTGGCAGCAATAACTTCAACCAAACGTTTCCTGTAGTTGCAGATCAGACGTGCACAACGGTCAGGAGTAATTCTTGACCATTCCTCTTTACAGAACTGTTTCAGTTCAGCAATATTCTTGGGATCTCTGGTGTGAATTGCTTTCTTGAGGTCATGCCACAGCATCTCAATCGGGTTGAGTGCGGGACTTGGGCCACCCCGGAAGGCGTATTTTCTTCTGTTTAAGCCATTCTGTTGTTGATTTACTTCTATGCTTTGGGTCATTGTCCTTGTAACGGACCGTTTCTCTCACAAGGGGATAAATCCGTTTAGGCGATAATCCCCTTTCCCATAGACCAGCAGCTATTGCAATCACCAACCTCCCGAACTCCAAACTGTACGAATCCCCAACTCACGAACAAGAAATACACGAACTCTGGAAGCAGCCGAACAGGAAAAGCAATACGAACGGCTTACACTCCTGGCAGTCAGCACACAATCCAATTCCCCCAATAACGAGACGACACTTCGTTTTGAGGGTTAAGCAGAATCTCTCGATTTATTCACACAGCCTCCTTTTAAGACATTCTCCCATGCAAGGGAGGGATCCACAACAATTAGTACCCCAGCCAATAATGTACCAGTTACCTCCCACACATCTCCTCCCCTTAGTGTGACACATAATCCCATTAGTACAGACACAAATTCCCTGGGATACTGGATGTACCCCTAAACATAGGAATACCCCTTTAAATGTTACATCCCCTGGTAACCCTGATCTGGGTGAGACACATATCCAAAAATCACCCAGATCGGACCAGGGGTTCAGGAATTATAAAGGGTTAAAGTTTTGACCGACTGCATGGCAAAAGTATCCGAAAATAGTTCCATGTACTTTGGCCCTGCAGTCGGTCACAGAAAAGGGAATGAATCACACGAATTGCCTGGGTTATAGAGCTTGGGGAGGATTCGTATGAATCCCCCTGTTCGTGGGATCCTTTCTACCGAACGGCGGGCCGTTCGGTAGTTTCTGCACGAATTGCTGGAAGTCTGGAGGTCTCAGCGGTGTTTGCTTAGTCGAGTGTCCGATTTTAGTTCCAGACACTCGACGGCAAAACACCGCTGTTCGGGAGTTTAAGATGGCCGCCGCCACGTGTTCGTTTCCCGAATGGCGGCCACCCAGAGGACAAAACACACATTACACATATTGCCAATTACCCGTTTGCAACATTGTTGCAAACGGTAATTGAAGGCACACTTACTCCAGGGTGGTCTGGTTGTTCGGTAGTTTCACCCAATATAATGAATGGAGTAATTCTACCGAACAATCAGACGAATGCTGCATACACATAACACTGTTTACCGAACACATAATATTAAATACAGCCTGAATGCAATTTGCTGCACAATCTTAAAGGGCATTATTCCTAACAGTCAGAATATGTCCACGGATGGCCCTTAAAGGGCCAGTAGCAGCAATATAAAAATGTCACATGCCCAAATATTGCATACAAAAGTATGAATTCACAAGGGGGCCATAGTCAGATGGCAGGAGGCTGGCAACCAGGCTTCTCCAGTGCATAGTGGCGAGGTTGGTTTCGCCACAGTCCTGTTGCAACACCCATCTTCTGTTGAGCTTCAGCTGGCAGACAGATGGCCTTAAGTTCAAAATGTCTTGATAAACTTGGGAATTCATTTTTCCTTCGATGATAGCAATCTGTCCAGGCCCTGACGCAGCAAAGCAGGCCCAAACCATGATGCCCCCACCACCATACTTCACAGGTGGGATGAGGTTTTGATGTTGGTGTGCTGTGCCTTTTTTTCGCCACACATAGTGTTGTGTGTTTCTTCCAAAGAACTCAACTTTGGTTTCATCTGTCCACAGAATATTTTGCCAGTACTGCTGTGGAACATCCAGGTGCTCTTGTGCAAACTGTAAACATGCAGCAATGTTTTGTTTGGACAGCAGTGACTTCCTCTGTGGTACCCTCCCATGAAATCCATTCTTGTTTAGTGTTTTACGTATTGTAGATTCGCTAACAGGGATGTTAGCATTTGCCAGTGACTTTTGTAAGTCTTCAGCTGACACTCTAGGATTCTTCTTCACCTCATTGAGCAGTCTGCACTGTGCTCTTGCAGTCATCTTTACAGGACGGTCACTCCTAGGGAGAGTAGCAGCAGTGCTGAACTTTCTCCATTTATAGACAATTTGTCTTACCGTGGACTGATGAACAGCAAGGCTTTTGGAGATACTTTTATAACCCTTTCCAGCTTTATGTAAGTCAACAATTCTTAATCGTAGGTCTTCTGAGAGCTCTTTTGTGTGAGGCATCATTCACATCAGGCAATGCTTCTTGTGAAAAGCAAACTCAGAACTGGTGTGTGTTTTTTAAAGGGCAGGGCAACTGTAACCAACACCTCCAATCTCATCTCATTGATTGGACTCCAGTTGGCTGACATCTCACTCCAATTGACTCTTGGAGATGTCATTAGTCTAGGGGTTCACATACTTTTTCCATCTGCACTGTGAATGTTTACATGGTGTGTTCAATAAAAACATGGCAACATTTCATTCTTTGTGTGTTAGTGTATTAGTTTAAGCAGACTTTGATTGTCTATTGTTGTGACTTAGATGATGATCAGATCACATTTTATGACCAATTTGTGCAGAAATCCATATCATTCCAAAGGGTTCTCTTACTTTTTCTTGCAACTGTATAATGTCATAGCATTCTTTAAATTGGCCGCTACCATCTCCCGAAGGAACCTGCAGCAGGTTACACTGGTTACCCAGATACCCTTTCCTCGGTCAAGCAGGTTATATCCAGGAATTGTGCAGTTGCTGACAATATTTGGTAACTGATGCATGGAATAGCCTTCCAGCTGAAGTGGTAGAGGTTAACACAGTGAGGGAGTTTAAGCATGCGTGGGATAGGCATAAGGCCATCTAGCTAGAAGACAAGGCCAGGGACTAATGAAAGTATTTAGAAAATTGGGCAGACTAGATGGGCCGAATGGTTCTTATCTGCCATCATATTCTATGTTTCTAAACTGGTGTGACAATACGGATATCACAAAAACATGACAAAACTCTGCAAGTAGGACAACATTATGGTGGATAGACAATACATAATTATGACAAACACTGGATTTTAATTGAGACATCTGACACTGCAAATACTGATCAGTGAATATAATTTGCAAAAGAGAATCATCAGAATTGTCCAATTTCTATAGAAACTATGTCTTAGTGATGGACAAGCTCGGAAGGACTAAACTTCCAATTGCCAATGGCAAGTAGACATTTTAAAGGGACACTATAGGCACCAAGACCACTTCAGCTCATTGAAGTGGTCTGGGTGCAGTATCCCTGTCCCCTTAAACCTGCAATGTTAATTATTGCAGTTTCTGAGAAACTGCAATAACTACATTGAAGTGTTAAGACTGCCTCTAGTAGCTGTCAATCACGCTCTGCATGAGGACATCCATAGAAAGCATTGCAGGGATGATTTCCTATGGGGAGAACCTAATGTGCTGGTGGCGCATTAGCACCCCCATCGAGTGACATCGGAAGGGGGAACATCGGCACCGGTATTGGGTAGTAAGTACAGCAAGGATTTGGAGGGGGGTTGGGATGTGGGAAGAGGGTAGTCTTGTGCTAGGGGAATAGATTTGTATTCCTAGCACTATAGCATTCTTTTAAGCCCTGGGTGTAAAGGTATAATTTAGAGACTTTTCTTAACTGAGAAATTCTGGTCATCCGTTGTATCCCTAGCTGCGTTATGACTGAAATCCCAATAAGGGATGTGTTTTTTGTAATGTCTAATTTCTTCTCATATTTCATGTCTCTATTTTGTCTTTATCATATATTACGTTAACGGCTATGTAAATCGTTCAGTAACTTTCATTTCTTGATGTGGGACTACGTTTAAAATTAGATTGGAGAAATATCGTAATGTGGAAGTGTCTGGAAAGTGTGTGGGTTTAACACAAACCAGATCAGCAGAAATTAACACACACACGTGACAAATCCTGAACTGAGACAACAGGACTCCTTGGTAACACCAACGCTGAGGGCTACATTTGTTCACATTTCTTATAGACAGAACAAGGGTTAAATAAGTGCAAAGTCCATTTTATCTGAGAATGGTATGTTCAAACAGATAGCAAGACCAATAATTATCTTAAAACTGACCATTTTAGTAAAATTAATGCTTTATATACTTTTACCATACTACAATACAATATAAAGACACACTATATCACTTTTAGTAAATATTGGATCAAAATAGCTAATCTGGGAAAACACTCCAATTCATCAGTAAGTCGTGTTGGATTCCATAAGAGTGTTTGTATAATAGAATAGAATAGAATTTACTATAATAGAATATATATCAAATGTAATCGTTTGCCCCTCAGAACTAGTGTAGGAAAAACCAATCTACCCAATTGTATCATTCAAAAGCATCTTAAAAAGCCACAAACATTTTTACCATATTATTATAATTATTGTCATACGTCTATGTCAGATGTCTATGGATTTGTATCAAATATTTGTGTTCATTACAGTTTAAAAACACCCATAATAAACCACGTAGTTTTGAAGTAAACCCATCTAACCACGCATACATATCAGTACTCACATGAAAAGAATGTAATAACGGAAACATCTCTCTCACGGTCTTGCCCTTGCCGATAAATACATACATGATTTTGTGCTACCTAGGATGGCAAGATAAATTCACACATACTTCAAGGCATCTGCCCTTTTTTGCTCAGGATTTGAAATCAATGCTCACCCTTTCTATATTTGCAATCAATCCAAATGCTCTCCAGCAAAAGGACGAGAAACCTGATTTGTAAATTGATCCCCAGACATACCAACGTCTAAACTTATTTCTTTTAGCACACCGTGTACCAACCACGAAAGCTCTGCCGCTGTGTAAGGCACAATTCTTTAGAGGCACTTATCCAAGTGGTGATGAAGCTCAACACAAGTTATGTAAAACGTAAAGAAACAAAGTCTATACACATTGACCAGCTAACATACTTACTGGACCTTAACATATGTTCACTAAGAGGAGTCTTTTTCTTACCAAAAGCTTGACTCATTTGAAAAGAAAAATATATAAAATATTAATCACTAGATAGCTAGAACAAACTGCTGTGCAGTGAACACCAGTTCACTCCTTACCAGACATAACACTAAGCTCTCGTTGGGAAAGTACAACAAAATAGTAGCATGTAAGCAAGAATTTATTTTGTTTAACAAATTTAGCTTAAATTTTGTAAAACGTGTAAATAACCCCATGTCTGCTACTGATTTCTGATTGCACTGAATCAGCAATCAGTAGTAGACATGGGGTTATTTACACGTTTTACAAGGTGCTTTGCTCAAGTCATTCTCAGTACTCACTGTGTGCTGGGGTCCATCTTCATTGTCGCGGGCATAGAATGGTTTGAGGTCGTACGGATAGTTGATGACGAACAATGGGACGTTGCCACAGTGTTTTACCAGATACCTTTCATGCTCTGTTTGTAAATCACATCCCCACTGCAGAAAAAACAAACAAAAAACAAGACCCACAAAACAAAATATTCATTAAGAGTCAACTTTTAAAATAAGTGACAACACAAAATCTGCATCTGAAAGAATCTCTACAAACAGGAGGAGAGTGGTGTAACTAGCACATGCTATACATGTACGATCCTCTGAGGCTGTGAGAGGAGAACATGGATGGTCAACGTCACTGGTTTACAATGAGTGATGTGAGCAGAGCAGAGACACTGAAAACTACAGACTAGAAGCTTAAGGGAAGAGCTTTAAAAAAAAAAAATGTACTGTCAGTCGGTTTCTGTCTGTTTTATTACTATACACTTCAAAGGAACACTCTCTTATTAACATAAATGCATGGTTTTAAATATTGAAGTGTTCCTTTAACTCCTACAGTGCCCGACGCCCACCCCAAATGAGAAAAACAAAAAATTCAGCTGCTTCACTTTTTCATTCAATGACGATTCCTCTTGCGACACTGGTGAGCATGGCAGTGATGGCAGTCTCCTCTCCCAGTCACCCAATAAAATACTTCCCATAAGAAGCACTGACCAATGCTTCCCTAAGCTCTTCCCTTCAGGTTGAAGAGCTAGCTGTCAGTATGGGTCTGGAGTGTCTCTTTGATCACTGTATGCTGTACTGTAAAATATGGTGGTGCTAAATTTAATGATGAGAATATCGGCGGTAAAGTATAACAACAAGGTGATGCTGTCATGTCTTTCCATTTTGTTTCAGAATTCTTAAGTAATTGTAAATACAAAGAAATACAATAATAAGGGAAAAGGAACAAAAAATATATTAGGGTCAAAAACAGAGAATGGCTGAACAGAGATACCCAACTCATACCAGAGAGAGAAAAAAAACAAAACAAAAAACACACAACCATCATCCCCTCTCCTCCATTTCTGTAATGTGGTCTCCATCCCATCCCACCCATAGAATTTGGTAATGAAGGGGATCAACACAAATCTTAAATTCTGGCTTTTTGGTTGTCTTTAAAGGGACACTATAGTCACCTGAACAACTTCAGCTTAATGAGATTGTTCAGGTGAGAACTATAGCTCTCTGCAGGCTTTCTCATGTAAACATTGAAAGCTAGGAACACCTCCAGTTGCAGTCACTCAGAGTGAACCAGAGGGACTTCGAGTTGATGGAGGCGTAATATGTCTCTATCCACTCAGATTTGCTGTCAGCAGAGCACAGTGCAGCACGGTGCACAGCATCCTGTGATTCAGTGTCTCCACCCTCTGCATGCAGACACTGAACTTTCCTCATAGAGATTCATTGATTCAATTCATCTCTATGAGGAGATGCTGATTGGCCAGGGCTGTGTTTGAATCATGCTGGCTCTGCCCCTGATCTGCCTCTTTGTCAGTCTCAGCCAATCCTATGGGGAAGCACTGTGGTTGGATCAGGCTATCACATGTCAGCAGACTGCTTGTTTTTCTGAGTCTAAAAGCATGCAGATTTACAGCTTCAGGCTTGAATACAGTAAGATTTTTACTATATTTATGGAGGCATGAGGGGCTAGATGGTGGTGTTAACACTATAGGGTCAGGAATACATGTTTGCTGTTTTCTGTTGTGATCCTGTAAAGACAGTCTTTACAGGATCACAACAGAAAACAGCAAACATGTATTCCTGACCCTATAGAGTTAACTTGAGAACCACGGATTTATGAGACTTCTCTAGGGCTGCACCGTTCCTGTGGAACTCCCTTCCCTTTTCCGTTAGATGCTCAACTAGTTTCCACTCCTTAAAAAAAAATCATTAAAAACTCACTTTTCCCCAAAAGGCATATCAATTAAACTGTTAATGGCTCCAAACAAACCCCAGACTAATTCTTCATTGAATACTATTCTGTCAATCTACTTCCCTAATACTTCCCTTACCTTTTGTGTCACTTTACCCCACTCCCTCTAGCATGTAAGCTCACTGAGCAGGGTCCTCAACCCCTCTGTTTCTGTGTGTCCAATTTGTCTGGTTACAATTACGTGTCTGTTAGTCCACCCATTGTAAAGCACTACAGAACTTGTTGGTGCTATATAAATATAATAATAATTATAATAATAGTGATAGTCTCAAAGGGGAACTGAAAAGTATAATGATATACAAATATCATCTTTCCCAATACCTTGCACTCTATTTAATCTTTTTAATGTGGTTCTGCCATGTTTTCTTAACCCTCTTAGTTCAAAATTAACAAATAATAAATAAAAATGTAAATCTCCATCCCATAAGCCACGGCTTTACTGTTCTCGCAGAATAAACACTCTGTTAATGTGTCTAATCCTAAGTGAACACTGTAACTTGTTTAGTACTATGTATGGTTTATGATAGAACTATGTATGATTTTGTTTACTCATATATTGTGCTGCATTTCAATAAAGTATTAGCTGTAAGAACTGTTAAAAAAACAAAAAACAAAAAATAGGTAATCTGCAAATTAAAAAAATACAAATAAACAAGTTTCCAATTTGCATGTCATTGTTTTTCTGTTTCATAGAAAACTTAACAAAGACTTGCAGCATTGTGTAATGTTCTTTAGAAATCTCAATGATGGGAAAAGGGAAATAGTTGAAGTGATATTGAGAAACACGGTCTTAAAAATGGACAGGCTACACACGAACACACTTAACACTATCATGGTGGAGCCGCGTAAGTACCTGCAAGATGATACTCCTTCCTAAAATATTATATATTTTTAGGATGCTACCACTGCAATCTCCACTGGCCTTTTTTCAATCAATCCAACCAACTAGAGGTGGTCTGGGTGTCCCAAATCTGAAAGAATATTATAAAGTCACAATACTATCACAAGCTATCTGGTTGCTTCTACATAACACACAATCCAATGGATACAAGTTTAGAGAGGCTGCACGCCAGCACCCTACGTGTTGGATTGTGTGGCACCCCCTAGATTGAGGAAGGTTAGAGTATAGGCTCTGCATACTTGGAATGGTTACCTGATCTCACACGGAGTCAAGGAGTGTATACCTAGTCAGGCTCCCTTGGGAACTCTTGAATTACTAGTTCCGGATCTATCTATGTCCAGGTGGACAATGCTGAGGAATACGAATATTTTCCAACGAATAGGAAATCGAGGACTGCTCCCTTTCCTGGTATTAATGACGAGACATGGGCTGCCATCTAGAGATCTCTTTCTCCATCTCAGAGTAACAGGGATTATTCAAAAACATGTATTACCTGTGTTTAAACACCAAACCACCGAGTCACACAACAGCACATCCTTAGTAGCCAGATATTTACCCAGACAGCAAAAAATTACTATCCATGCACTATGGAGCACTAATGACATCATCCCCAGAGTACGCTAAACCACTGTATATGCAACGCTGGCAGACTGAGCTGGGATGTCAATATTCTTTGATGGATTCGTGGGAGGCCATAACCTCTATATGTAAAGTAACACAATGTACAAACCACCTTGAAATGCACTATAAATTAACAATGAGATGGCATCTAGCACCTTCACATTTGAATAACATTTACAGAGCTGTTTCTCCGGCCTGCTGAAGGGTCAGTGATACTTTATGATACAGATTTGGTGGACATGCACAGCTCAAGTGCATTATCAGATACAGGATGTGATATATATTAGTCTTCCTAAATCACCAGAATTATTTTAATTATTCCAAGCGGGTACCGATTGGAGTGTATGGGCTCCTCCTCCTGCACATACTATAAACTGCTTAACTAACCATAGCCAAAGCATGCAGAGAATCAGAACCTGGAATGTGATAGAGTTAAGTCCATCAAATCCTGGTATTCTATGGCCTCTTACCTCTTTTACTCAGAGTGCCTTGGGAAATGTGTCAAAAATACATTAACACACACTTACATGATTATGGTGCTTGCTCGCGCATAAAAGACAAAGTTGACTGCTCTTAGCTAGGTCTTCTTCTTAGGTCTGGGGAGCAAAGGGCTCTGCTCACAGCTCAGGGGGTCAAATATTATTATTTCTTATTTTGCTATGTCTCACAAAACATTTGTGGATTCCATGTTGCAGCAAGTGATGCGTTGGAGAGCTCCAAATGAGTTGAGGGAGATTTTGGTACATCACTAGAAATTCAACGTGAAGCTAATCTATCTATTGTGAAACAGCGCATAGTGACAGTGATGATGGTTCACATTTTGTAACTGTAATGGATAACTATGACTGTATGATGAAATATGTAAGACAGACCTCCTTGTCCGCATCAACATGTTGTCTGCAGTTAGCACGGCCCTTTTGGGTACAAACATGCACAGTCTTTAAAAGTAACTTAATTCCAGGCACTTTATTGTTGCGCTTCACTACAGAGACAGCGGCAAATGAAAAAAAAAAAAAACAATAATGTAACACATATCCCTATAAACAAAAACCTAGCTCGTCTGAGCCCTAACATCAGATTCCCTATCTCTCAGGGGTTAAACTATAACAAAACAATATTGGTTTCACCAACCTAGTGTCTTTGTCGGCTCTCTGCACTCCAGTGTTTAGCCAGCCTGCTGCTTCCAGCCTTCCAGAGAGAAACAAACAAACATTCTCCCCTACCTGACTAGCAGGGAGGGGTTTATTCCCACTGCTGCAGCTGATTACCTGCAGCTGAGCAGTGGGTTGGAGACAGTCCAAACCCTGGTCTGGACCTAGTCTCCCAGGAACAAAACAATAAACAGCGGAGTGGAACACTGGCCCACCCTGCTCTCCAAATGCTCCACCCCAGGAGACCATAACTAAACATTCATTTAAGTTATATACACACAGACACACACACTCCCCCTGGGGTTAAAAATCATATGCCTCTCTGAACAATTCAGTCAAAATATAAACTCCCTCATAGACCACCCCATTCACCTTATCACAATGTACTGAATATTTTATTGTATGCAATGTGCATTGGAGGTAATAATAATTTTACAAGTTACAAAGAAAAAAGTACAGGCTAAGCACCCACCTCTGGTTTATAGTGGAATATTTCACGTGCATCCTTCAGAACTTCTATTGCTTCGGTGTATGTCATTCTTGGAGGGAGAAGGGGGGAAGAAGAAATATAAAATACATTTAAATAAATAATAAAAAAAAATACATATTTTATGGTTTAAGAGTTAGAAGAAGAAAACCCCCAAGTAAAATGCAATTTAGGGCACTTTGTGTATTTGAACATGAGTCGTCGGATTCAGAAAATGTATGAAATCAAAAGATTAACTAGTTGAAGACTGAAAGAATTTCTCCATTCATACCATGGTGGCTTAGGCTGGATACCCCAAATTTGAAAAAAAAAAAAAATACAAAAACACATCCTACCTGCTACCAGTTGTGAGATATCAAAACCTCATTTGTGGCAGGTCTCATGGCACCTTTACTCAGGGCTCGACAAACCCCAGGCGCCAGGTCGCCATGGCGCCTAGAAATTTTGCCTTGGGGCCTTGGAATATGTGAGCTCAGCGGGCGGAAGGCCAGCCCGGGAATTATGGAGGCGTGCGGCATGCTGTGTAAAATGACTCAGCACTCCGATTGGTTGGATTCCAAGTAAACCAACTAGAGTGCTGTGACCTGTCAGTCTCTTCATTTACCTGTCACGCACTCTGATTGGTTGGCTTGGAATCAACCAATCAGAGTGCTCTGAGTCAAATTGTAGGGCGTGGGAAGGCTTTATAAGCTTTTCCCTGCCCTGCGGAACTCAGTCTGCACAGTGCCTCGCTGGGTGAAGATGGATTATCCCCCTTATTGTCATTTACGGCCCCCACACACCGCTCATGGGTGGGGGCAGGACAATAGGTCCCGTCCCCTTGTCTATTAGGATTCACATCTGCCGCTCATCGGTGGGGACCTGGAGGGAGACAACAGGTCCCTCCCATTAATACTTAGGGCCCCACCCGCCGCTCATGGATGGGGGCTGCAGGGGGGGCAGACAACAGGTCCCCCATTGTCTGTTAGGGTCCCTGCCCACCGCTCATGGGTGGGAACCTGAGGGGGAGGGGACATTAGGCCCCCCTTATTTAATTAGGGTCCCCACTCGCTGCTCATGGGTGGGGTCTGGGGGGACACTTGGCCTTTCCGTTTATATTAATAACCCACACCTGCGGGTCACGGCACTATACCCCCCCCATTTTTAGTTATTTGGGTTCCCCACCATGGGGGAACTTATTTGCACTAGCAATAGCTGTCCAGTCACCAGTAGTTGTAAATGACAGCGAGCAGCATATTTTCCCCCAATACACGCTTCACTGTTACCTATCTGTTATTATATAATATTTTTCGGTTAGGATTGTTATAATTAAAACATAATGTAATGATTACTGTTACAGTAGTGGGAGGGTTGAGTGTTAATGTTCAAGTACTGTAGAGATTAAGAGGAGGATTTCACTTTAAGGGCAACGCCAAGACATGCATATCTCAGTGGTGCCCAATATTGTTTAGGCATCAAATGGTGGCCACTGCCACTCGGGAGTGTAACTTCCACTAATCTCAGGCAGATCAGAACTTGTGATCCCTGCTTTATACCACATTCAATATGAAAAATAAAATGACACCAAGTGTTTAGTATGGGGGCATAAAACACAATCTAACTATTGGAATAACACACAGATCATATAATTTGGGGAGCTCGATGACATTAACAAATACAACAGACACTTACGTTACAAACTTCTTTTTAAGAAACTGCTCCAGCCTGTCCTTCGTAAAAGGAAATGAAAGAAAAATTATACTTAAACGGAACTGTTCTACTCAATGTCAGCTAAGAGTTCACTAGGCTGTTTTAAAATTAACAAAAGTACATGGCTCATGGGTGTGCCTGTGACTGGTAAATACAGATTCTGAAAACATTATTGCTTATAAATTATTTCACGTTTTCCTTTATTTTTCAAACTCAGCTGGTGATTTCGTTTCACAAGTGTGTCTGTTCGGTAAGAAGGTGAATTAGAAGCATTAAAAGAAAATGGACATTTCTCCTTATCATTACTGAAATGAAAAGATTACATGTAATACAGCTTCTCTGTGTATTATTTTATAATGCTTAAATATTAGATCTCATTTAATTTCTCTTGCTCTGTAGAACTTGAAAAAAATAAAAAGTAAATATACCTCCGAAGAAAATCTACATGTACAATATTTTGCATAATTCAAATATTAGACCAAAGCAGCAAACTGAGAAAACTAGCTGACACACAAAATGTGTCCTCTTTTGTTATCCTGGTCTAAAATATGATATACGTTTTTATTTTCAAACCAATCACAATTTTGTTTGTAACCTGGATAGAGATTCAATGTACTGTACATGCGCAGTGAACATCTGTCCTAGAGCAAAGGTTTCCAACTGTGCCGAACAGATGATGTAAAACTTCCACAATTCTCTTGAAGTCCTTGGTTCACAGAGAGCTAAGTTTGAAACTTCTGATGTCATGGTCAACATCCCCAATACTGAGGCTCAGACAGTTAAACATTTTTTTTTTTTTTAAATTAGCATTTACAAAAAGTAATATAGTAAGTATAATCTTACGTAGTTCTCTAAAGAAAAAAGCTTTTACAAAGCCACTTCTTTTGATTGCAAAACAAACCACAAAAAAAATATGTAAAGAAATGTAACTTTCAATTTTGTGTTGCAAGGAAACACATACTTGGAAAAGCAACGTATTGAGGACCAAACATAAAAAAAAACATTATCACATTCTTTAACCCCTTAAGGACACATGAAGTGTGACATCATGATTCCCTTTTATTCCAGAAGTTTGGTCCTTAAGTGGTTAATGTAAACATTTAAAATATATTTATATAATGGGAAGTCCACAGCTAGGATGACATGCTAAGAATTCTTTACACTTACTTTTTGTCCAACGGAAACATATTTACTGAAGAAGTTTATCTCTTCTGGACACTGTGAAAGCAATGCTGTGGTTGTGGATTTAAATAAATTCTCGATAACCTACGAGGTAAAGGTTGATGTTAAATTTAATAAATTATGCATTAAAAACAGCAAATCATCGGCATTACAGTCTGGTCAGCATAAAAAAGCCTGATTAAAGAAAGTACATTTTGCTGGCAGTAGCACGTTCAAAACATGGTCTGTCACTGCCATCGTTAGTTTGGTTCTTGTTACCGGCTGAATGATTTCTCAGAATAATGCTATACTAGCGAGGGTTTCAAAGTCAACATCGCACATCATCAGACAGACAAACCCTGCTGGTTTTCAGACACAGGTATATTAGGGAAGGCTTATCTAAAATAGCAGTAATAGGGACAATTCCTAAAATTGTGTTGGGGTGCCCTTGGCTTCTATGGTGGCTGTTCCACTTTTAGAATTGCTCTGTAAAGATTATGTTAAAGGACACTGTAGGCACTGTAACAGCTTCATCTTACGTTGGGCTAAAAGGGAAACATTAGCAAGAGAAGCAATCACTTTCAGCCTATAACAGTGCCCATTGCTGGTATGAATTGGTATGGAGAAGGAGGCTATCTGCCTTAGCCACACCTCCAGTAAGGGCTGGGCTCTCTTGGCTAAAGACACTTATTTAGTGTTAAAACGGCTTGAAAATGGTTTAAGACTGTATGGAGACAGAGCGCCGTGGTACTATAACTAATTCAATGAGATGAAATGGTTATAGTGCCTAGTGTCCCTTTAAGAATTGAATGAGAGCACCTAGGCTAGGCCATTCCGCCAGGCAATACACACACAGTATTAGATGTGTTAAAACAAGCCATCCTAGCTGGATTCTACATTGACACAATATGGAACATACACCTGGACACCACACCAGCTGGACCGCACGTTGAAACAATATGGAACTTGGTCAGACAGAACATCCCAGCTGGATCCTATAGAGACTCAATATCAAACATGTCCTGGTCTTAAAGACCATTGTTTGTTAATTACCTGCATAATATCATCCAGACTGTCTGTGAAGGAAATTTCGGCTTCCACCATGTAAAACTCTGCAAGGTGCCGACGACTTTGGGAGTTCTCTGCTCTAAACGTGGGACCAAAACTATACACTCGTGTGAACCCTCTAAAAAACAACAAGAAGACAAGACAAGAATAAACAAGAACAGAAAGCAGATAAAGTTAGAAGTTGTATCAGATTACCTTTAAGTGAAGCTAAAGCTTTTAAAACATTTGCAACTTTGGACCATTTTAAATGTAGTGTACAGTAGTGATATCGTGTGTAATTCCCTCCCAAAAACCACTTGTCACCTTACTTTGCACGTTCCAATGATTAATTAAACGTTAACTATACGCTGTAGAGTCTTAATTCCATTAATGATGCTAACTCACCCACCATAGTGTAGAGTACGAGAGTGTTGCGAGGCTACATCTATTGCTTGTATGGCACTTTCCAAGATTATTGCTGGAAATTATTGATACACAATCCTAATTTACCGTACTATGTGACAATCAAGTACGTAAAATCTTCGTGAATATAACCGAATAAGATACATGAACTCCAAGTGTTCTCAAATTATTTTGCTTTGAAGCAACATCGTAAGTACACAATTATAAACCAACAATTTATGCAAAAATATATATGTTTATTTATATTGCTTAAAGGACCACTATAGTGCCAGGAAAACATACTCGTTTTCCTGGCACTATAGTGCCCTGAGGGTGCCCCCACCCTCAGGGACCCCCTCCCGCCCAGCTCTGGAAGGGGGAAAGGGTTAAAAACTTACCTTTTTCCAGCGCTGGGCGGGGAGCTCTCCTCCTTCTCTCCTCTTCCGTTCCTCCTCCTGGGCTGAATGCGCACGCGCGGCAAGAGCTGCGCGCGAATTCAGCCTGTCGCATAGGAAAGCATTTACAATGCTTTCCTATGGACGCTTGCGTGCTCTCACTGTCCTATTTTCTTAAATTGAGGTGTATATGCTGCCGTATTCTGCTTGTGTTATTTTTACTGTAATTGCTTTGTATTGTTGTATTTGTGTGTATTTGAGCTATTATATTGTATATGATACATATGAATGTGGGCTGTGTATGAGGGCTGCTTGTGGAATTGTGTGTGGATGGATATGTCACATTGTGTGTTTGGTAGTGTGTGGGGGCTGTTTGGGGTATTGCATGTGAGAGGCTGCATGTGTGCATTTATGTATATTGTTAGTGGTGTTGTGTTTGTGGGGATTGTGTGTTGTGTGTGTGTGTGGGCTGTTCATATTATTTGTATGAGGGGAGGGTTATTCTACATTTATGTGTATATCTAGCAGTGTGGGTGGGTTCCCTGGGTCCCTGGGCACAGGTCAAGGACAGGAGCTGCGATAGCTGTCGAGGGCTGCTCTACTACAGTGTGGATTCCCATTCACAAGTGCTGTGAGGAAGTGATCTGGGATCACTTCCTCTATGTGCTGCAATGCATAAATTGAGGTTTGTCCTTCACCACCTCTTCGTATTAGCAGATATCTGAAGTTTTACTGGGACTCCTGATAGGCCACAGTGCGTTTGGCTCTAGCAGCCTTGGGTGCCGTGCAAAGACACCTCGAGTGCAGTGCATGGCACTAGTGCTGTAGGTTGCCTACCCCTGCACTAGAGGATTAGGGGGAAGGCTTAATCCATTCATAAACATAGCAGTTTCTCTGAAACTGCTATGTTTATAAAAGAATGGGTTAACCCTAGCTGGACCAGGCACCCAGACCACTTCATTAAGCTGAAGTGGTCTGGGTGCCTAGAGTGGTCCTTTAAAGGATCACTATAGGTTGAGGAACACAAACATGTATTCCTGGCCCTATAGGGTTAAAACCACCATCTAGCTCCCCTGGGCCCCTTATGCCTCCCTAAAATTAGAAAACCTACTTGTATTCAAGCCTGAAGCTGCTAGCTCTGTTCCTGTTTCCTTTAGACCTGGCCACTGACTGCTGACATCATCAGAAGTGGTAGCCGGATCCAATCACAATGCTTCCACATAGGATTGGCTGAGACTGATCGGGGGCAGAGCCAGCATGATTCAAACACAGCCCTGGCCAATCAGCATCTCCTCATAGAGATGAATTGAATCAATGTATCTCTATGAGGAAAGTTCAGTGTCTGCATGCAGAGGGAGGAGACACTGAATGTTTGGATGCATTTTAGGCAACCATGACACAGGAAGGATCTCTAACAGCTCTCTGAGGAGTGGCCAGTGTAGTTATCACTAGGCTGTAATGTAAACACTGCATTTTCTCTGAAAAGACAGTGTTTACAGCAAAAAGCCTGAAGGTAATGATTCTACTCACCAGAACAAATTCAATAAGCTGTAGTTGTTCTGGTGACTATAGTGTCCCTTTAAACACGGTTGTGCTGCAGAGATAGGTTTTTTAATTCTTGCCTCTGCTCCTCATCCCAGCAAATGCTTCAGAAGTGTTTACTACTAGACCTTTGTCTGCCCATTTCTCTACTAAAAGACCAAACATTATCATTGTGATGTGAGATCTTGCACTGTACTTTGTCTTTCCCACCCCTGCTGGAAAGCTATTCCATAAACCTGCAATATCTTATACTTGTTCAACGGCACAATTACTCCTTTACCCAGACATGACTTCCAAGTGGAGCTGACCAGAGACCGTCAGGTACGCTGGTACATTGAAGAAGCCAGACTTGTCGCTTTGTCCATGGTCCCAGTTTGTAGCCTGGAACATGAGAAGATTATTACAGAAGGTTTACTTACTGTAATGCAAAGCAACACAAACTTAGAAACATCATTAAATAACTAAAAAAAATATACAAAAAAAACTATGCAGGGTTATTCACAAAAGTGAGAATTCAGACATCATTTTAAATCAGGGTAGCGGACCCTGGCAGACAGTCAATTTTTCAATTTCAGCAGCTTTTTCCTTAAATTTGAAATTTACCCTGAATTTTTACTTAAGAGAAACTAAAAAGTAAATAACTTTGATAGTGTTTTCCCTCTAAACAAATACTCCAAGCACCATAACCACTACAGCTAGCTTCTTCTTACTTTTTGCTAAATTGGGTATTTGCTTTATTATTAGCTCCTTCTAGTGACCACAAGGGGTAGTGGTGAACCCTACATATTGCACCCATTACATAGTCTGTCTGTACCTAGTCGTGTTTTCCTATATATGTAATTTAAAGAGCAAGACAAACCAGCTCACTCGTCTAAAAGTACCTGTAGTTGTTGACTCACAACAATTGTATTTTGTTTTACTTGAATAAAAGCAGGGGGTTTATAAACGGCTGAACGCATGTAGCTTTTTTTTGTTTTGTTGTTTTTTAAATCTAAATAACTATGTTGCTTAATATTGATTTACATAGAAATGTGATGCTAACTTCCTTAATTGGAAAGTCATTCAAGAGCATTCTACCAAAGAACATCATGATAACAGGACTGCTGGTGAAAACACAGATTAGGATTTAAAGAACCCTGTACAAAATTTATAGTCATGACACAAGTTGTGGGCTTGTCACCCATTACTCTGCTGCAACAATTTTACAAAAGATCACTGCGACTACAAGTTATTCACTATGGCTGCATACTGAATAGGGAAAAACCATTTGAACTGCAAAATCCAGACATGTTCATACTATTATACAACGTGCGACGGTAAAAAATGAATCCGGATGATGAAAATCCAGGCCCTACTTTAAAAGCCCTAAATTAATTGCCCACTGCAACAAGGGGGAATCTGGCACCAACCAATCCAGCAGTCAAATAGTATGTTTTTTGTTTTTCTTTAAATCACCGTTTGCTTGCAAAGACCAAACGAACAATAATTTGTAAATGTGCATCCTTCCAGCTGCATTTGGTCCCGATTTAGCTTAAAACTTGGTGCTTTGTATATTTTTAACATCCAAAAAGCACAGATTATAAAGCAGATACAAAATGGATCAGGCAGAACGGAGCAGGTTGGGTCAGGAGGGCCGAATTCCGACTGGATTTGGATTTAGTAAATGTCAGAATAGACATTGTGATCAGAATTCAGTTATTTTCACAGAGTTCTGTGTTTCCTGAATAATCATATCCTTAACATCCCTACCCATAATACATCACAGGCATGATTCCATGGCCAGAATATTGTTTGTCCTGTGTGTAACCTCAGGTTCTAACGCTTTAAGCTTTAATATGCACAAATGCTGTTCTGCTGCCCAGAATGAAGCTTTAAGGACAACAGACATTTCTGGAGACCAAGTTCATGACGAAAACAACCACTAATAACGCTCTCATTTATTACAAACATTATTTATGCATATATCTGGTTACCAGTGGATAAATACTGCACCCACATACAGGGGGATGATTTGCTTTCTTTTCGATCGAATAGTGAGTGAAGGAATCAGACTCTTGTTTGACACAATTTGTTCTTTTTGCCGTGAATTTCATGCTTTGTGTAACTCTCCTTTGTGTGGCAGGCTAAGCTCAGCCGATGACGCAGGGAGTCATGTCATCAGCTGCGTGTGCTTTGCCAGACCAAATTCTAAACAAGATGCTACGTTCACAAATAATGTGAAAAGTATTAACTTTACATAAAAGGTACACACACAGGTACCGATACTTTAAGAATATTCAGCTCAAATGGAGTAATCCTGCTGAAGATTTTTCTATAATCTCTTTAAAGTAGGATTTCTCAAGCTATACAGAAATTAAAGAAAAGAAAATACATGTTTAAAGATGTCCGAATAAGATAATAAATATGGATAAAACCCCATTTTTTCCTCTTTGAAATTAGTGGTTTTCTGCCGCTTTAAATGATCTGCAGGTCATAACGCAATGAGTTGTGCTAGTGTTCTTACATACCTGGTGAAAGCTATTTAAGCTGTGAGATGTGCAGCGGAAGTAGACACACACAAAAAAGGATTTAATATTTTAACATAAAAGTTATATAGTTACCCTGGTTTACTTCCATTAACCTCTCCACCCAGTTTTGTACCTAACTTCTACAACTGGTTTCCAATGGTATTACTGCTGTCTAACAGTTGGTGCTAACCTTCAAAAGCCATGTGGCCTGGCGCTAAGAGGTTAAAGTTACTTCAAACAAATCAGTGTTATATCTCTGTATGAGCAGCATTTTATAGTGGAATGGAGTGGTCTTGGGCCTGGGGTAACCTTTTAATAAAATAACCACCATACCTCCCAACATTTGCAGACAGGTGGGCAGGACCATGAGAGGGCATCACCAGTGATGCAACAGAAGTCACTAGGGAATTCCAAAATTCCCTCCTCTGCCCAGCTCCAAGCTCTTAGGACCATGCAGGGAGCGCTGCTAAAGCTGGGGACAGTTCCCTGGTGTCCACATATATACGGGACACCAGAGAGCTAAAGTGGGATGGTGGGACAGCACCATAAAATCGGGACTGTCCAGCCAAAAGCGAGACTGTTGGGAGGCATTTAATTGCCCATACATCCCCCATACACTGATATGTACTTGGTATAGCACAAAATCACAGTTTAATAAATTGTATACACGGTCACTATTTCATGCTAAGCCAATCACATGGTGAAGTACGCATGCTCAAAGTGAGCCTTTTTTACTCGCAACATGTGGTGAGAATTTAAACAAAGCATGTGTGCCCCGGTGTTAAACCATGTGTTAATGCCTAGTACCCAAGACCTCCTCACATCAGAACTTCATTCCGATAAAGTTGTTATGGTGCCCTGGAGGTCTCATTAAAGGAATACTATGAGCACCAAATAACATTGCCCACATACGCCCCTTTCTTCCGCAAGATGCTGTCAAGGAGCTTGTCCATGCTCTAGTAATCTCTTGCATCGATTACTGTAATTCCTTCCTGATTGGTCTCCCCAGAAGCCGTACTGCCCCCTACAATCGAGGTGAAAGCTGCTGCCAGGCTGATCTTTCTCTCCTGTCACTCCTCCCATACCTCACCCCTCTGTCGATCCTTACACTGGCTTCCTGCCCCCTACAGGAGTCAATTTAAAATACAAACCCTAACCTATAAAGCCATAACCAACTCTAGCCCCTCTTACATTTCTTCACCGATTCATAGATATGCCCCCTCTGGGTCTCTCCGCTCTACTGGTGACCTTCTCCTGTCTGCTGCTCACACCCTGACTGCACATTCACGCCTGCAAGACTTCTCATGGGCAGCTCCTTTCCTTTGGAACAACCTGCGTACCCCTGTCAGACTCTCCCCTAGTCTTCAATCCTTTAAGAAGTCCCTCAAAACCCATCTTTTCAGAATTGCTTATGGCCTCCAAGAGTAACTTCTATCTCTCAAACCTTCCTCTTGCTCTCTCCTATAGGGCCACATTCCACTCTCACCTTTCCCACCCTGTCTATTTGCTGTCTCCCTCAATACCCTTCCTATTGTGTTTTTATACCCAACCTCCTCTAGACTGTAAGCTCGTTTCAGCAGGGTCCCTTAACTACCTATTGTTCCTGTTACATTTTGTTATTGTCTCATTTGGTAAATTCCCCTTTTATTGTAAAGTGCGCTAAATAAATACCAATAATAATAATAACATTAGCTTAAAAGAACACTCAAGGCACCACTAACTGTTTAATGCACTTAAAAACTGAGGTTTTGGCCTCATTAATAAGCTTTACTTTTTTGCATTTTGAAATCTTCAACGTTTTCACACAAAGGAATACATTCTAAGCAGAGTGCTACATTATATGCCTGCCTCCTTAGTCATGCTCCTAGAAATTAAATTATCAAATGTATGTAAAGTACTGAGAAATTAAGGCACTGAATAAAAAATAAAAAATATTATCCAGAACATGTGTTAACCTTTTTTATGCTCCAATTTCTATTAAATATATATATATATACCTACAATTCCAGCACAATATAGTGCAGACCTGGCAAAGCCTTTCACAACTCACAAATGCTTTTAAAAAACAAAACATTATCTATAACTTGTATTATCATTTTTATGCTTCATTTTCTTTTAAAGGATCACTGTAGGGTTCTCTGAACAGGCAGTATTTACATGAAAATGCCTGAAGGGAGCTATTATACTCACCAGAACAACTACATTAAGCTGTATACTGTACAATAAGCTGTATTATACATTAAGCTGTATTATACATTAAGCGGTATACTGTACAATAAGCTGTATTATACATTAAGCTGTATACTGTACAATAAGCTGTATTATACATTAAGCTGTAGTTGTTCTGGTGACTATAGTGTCCCTTTAAATTGATATTGAAGATAAATCAAATGAGAAGGGTTACTAGAAACATTTATTCATTCTCTGTGCTGACTGCCAGGGGCAAGCAAGGAGCTTGTAACAATGATTGACAGGGAGCTAAGATGGAGGTGACTGTTGCATGATATTCAAGTGTGGATTTCCACATTTAATAAATTTTGAATACCTCACAAATACAAATTTGTTAAATATTGGGATAAATAAACATAGTATTAAAGTGGGGAATTTTAGACATACATTTTGGTAAATGGGCCTTTCACAAAATCATGTGGACAAAAAGGACACCTTCGGGGTAAGTATAGATTCAAGGTAAGTATTGCGCTGGATCTCTCGTCCCCATCCAATATGGCTGAATAAACATGCGCCGACTACATATAACGTGAGTAGCATTCATTCCTTGCAGAAGGTTAGAAAATTAATAAATAAAAATAGTAAATTATTTCTTATCTAGACATTTCTGTAATGTGACACCAAGTCATTTTGAATGTGACAGATAACCCTTACCAGGCTATCTCAAAAAGCGCTTGAAAATGTAACCATAGCAGCAGTTATTTGATACAGGCCCATGAAGGTTTGAGCTGGCCAAGATTACCGTTACACCTGCCAAACACACTTGGAAGGGAACCATGTTAACTGCATTGTTTCACATGGAATCCTAGCAACAGCAGAACAAAAAAACAAGCAATGAAAAGGCTTCCCAACGCATCTTTAAATGCCACGACACACAAAGCAGAGTTAATTACGAACATATTTTGACATACCTGCACTTGAAAGAGTTCCCCAGCTCCCTCACAGTCGTTGGAGGTAATTATAGGAGTGTGGATGTGAATGTAACCATTACTCTATCAGCAGAAATAAAACGAGAAAAATTAGAGACCAAAAACAACCAAACCACAAGTTATCACTGGGGATCAGCTGCTTGTCTTATGTCTAAAGCCCTAGAGAACATTTTAGGATCATCACAATAATTATAGTAAATATAAGGGCAATCTTTTTTTTTTGCAAAACCCCTGGATGATTATCTACTTAATATATTAAACATAAGCACTGCTTAAACTATGTTAGATAGCATTTAGAACAGGGGTTGCCAAAAAGGTATTTCTGCAGCTGCACAGAACATTTTGTACAGTACTTTCATCCTAATGTGGACTTGGCGCATGTGTGACAAACCCCCCTTTTTACATGAGTTTGCCACGAGCATGAGTTTGCCACGAGCTCCTGGAGGAGCCTTCTTGCTAGCCTCCTGCCCTGTGACTTTGGATTCTGCGATAAACTTTGCTTACAGACATTGTTTGTGCCTTTTGGACTTGTAACGTTATTTACTCAGTACTACTTCAAACTCTCAAAGCGGCACTTTGAACTCCTGGACATTCAAAGTGATTCGAAGCGGTCGGCTGGCATTTGAACACGTGGCAGCGGCCATCTTAAGCCGCGAGGACAATGAGCGGTGTTTGGTTGTCGAGTGTATGGAACTCAAAACGGAAACACTCGATGGCACGAAAACCACTAAACACATACCCTCAACTGACGTTTGGCTATTCGAATGGGAATCGAACGGCATTCGGTGGGTATAAACTCCCGAACGAGACACATAAACTGAGCCTACTCCCGAAACTATACGTTCTGTATTTTATATTCTACTTCGAATACTCGAAGTAGACCGACCACACAACCTGATTTCCTGTAACTCTTTTCGGACAGTAATTTTGTGTGAAAATCCTGAACCCATGAACATGATATATATAGGGTTACCATGAGTGTTAGGGGTACTTTTGAGATTTTATAAAAATATGTATTTTTTTCTGCCAGTAGATAATTGAGTTAATACAGTATCAGACTGAATTATCTCCCAGGCAGAGGGGAGGGATTGTATGTTTGTATATGGGAGTGTCATGCATTTAAACGCTGTTGACATTGGTCTGTGACTTTATACTGTAGTTCCCCACAAAGTCCATGTGGGAGTGCCCCTTGCATGGGGACCTGCATAAAAGGCCAGTTGTGGATGCCATTAAACCATTCCAGCTTGCACTCCAAAACTGTGTGTCGTCCTGTTATTGGAGGGAAGGAAGATTTAACCCCTGTGTCTGCTGTTCCAGCTTGCAGGGGATTCAACAGGGAAATTTCTTGTAAGGACTAAAGCTCCCAGGACTGAGTGTCGTCCAGTGCCTGGCGGTGTCTAGAGCCAATTACCCATTCGGCTCCATAAAGGAGCCGTTCCAGGTCCTCAGTCAAGCCACGGCGACTGTGGGCAGAAGTGCTGAAGTTTTTCCCCTGTTCCAGCTAGGAAGCAGTCCTTGGCAGAGGTACCCAGCCAGGGGTACTGGGAGCTCTGTTTTCAGCAGACAAGTACAAGAGTGATGTTAAAGGACCACTGTAGGCACCCAGACCACTTCAGCTTAATGAAGTGGTCTGGGTGCCAGGTCCAGCTAGGGTTAACCCTTTTTTCTATAAACATAGCAGTTTTAGAGAAACTGCTATGTTTATATTAGGGTTAATCCAGCTTCTAGTGGCTGTCTCATTGACAGCCGCTAGAGGCGCTTGCGTGCTTCTCCTATGAAACTGGCTGAAGGCGCGCACAGCTCTTGCTGCGCATGCGCATTCAGCCGAGGAGGAGGAGAGATCCCCGCCCGGCGCTGGAAAAAGAGGTAAGTTTAACCCCTTCCTCACCCTAGAGCCCGGCGGGAGGGGGAACCTGAGGGTGGGGGCACCCTCAGGGCACTATAGTGGTCCTTTAACGGTGTAGCTAAAAACTGCCCCAAGAGAAACACAGCACTTCTATGATATGGAACATGCTAGGCACATAGGAAATATAGTAACCTAGGTATGAAGTTGGTGTTAGGTACCATGCTTGGCTAGTAGGTTGTCTGTGTGCCAATTTCTTCCAGAAGGCTTCGAAGGTGCTTTCCAGCCTTGCCAGGATATCGGATTCTTCCTCACAGTGGCTTGATGTGCACGTGGCAACTGCCATTGTGCTCAGCTCTGTGAGTTGCCTGTGTGGGCCCGTCTCTTGCCTTCTGTATAGCCAGGCTGCCTCCCAGGGTGGACCTGGGATCACCCCCACCGGTTCGGAGGGGAGGGGGTTCATAATATGGTGGTATTGATAGAATTGCATGGTAATGCACAGTACCGATTATCGGTGTAATTCATACAAACCCTATGGACTATTTAAAACATAAATCAAAATGAAAATCTGCAGGAAAAACAAAACAAAACTATAATGCAACTATCAGCTAACCCATCATGTGCTGCAGCTTCTGGACAGGGGAGAAAGCTGGGACCACAATCAAATCACTTTTAGCCATGAGGATTCATTATTGTACCAAACAAGATTTTTTCAATACAATGGAAGAGCACCACCGTGTGGTAAAATAGGTTTATTGCAGTTAATGTGTTCACAAAATTATTGTCGCACACTTTTCCGATGTCTTTGAGCAGCTACATACTGTGGCTCAAGGGGGGAGTAAAAAAACAAAATATATATATGTATCGAAGGTTAACATAATATGATATGGGAGCCTGGTACAATAACTTAAGGTCCACCTCTCCAAGCTCAACTTTTTTTACCCTCGCTTTGTTATTACGATCTTCTGCTGTTTGTCTATTTTACATTTGCGTATTTTTAATACACAGCAAAATGAAGTAGATTGCACTGAAAACTTTTTTATTTAACCTAGTACAAACCTTTCTACAGCCATAGTGCAAAGAATACAAAGATACCAATACGTGAAAGGAACACACTAACATAATGAATACCACAGAGTTGTAATGACTAAATCAATGAAGAAAATCATTGTCAATGATTCTCATTATTGATTAGTTGGTCTGTGATTAGGTGGTAAACGCACGGCATCAGACATGCTTACTCAATGTATGTGCCTTGACAGTTTGCACTCTTACTTTTTGTCTGTCTTTCATTCCTGAGGTCAGACAACCCATTATGCATGCTCTGAAGTTAGGCCGACATGCTCAAGCCTACAAACCTATTCTGTCGTATAGGTGATGTTAACGGGGGGGGGGAGGAGAAAGAGGGATGTATTATGATGGTGTATTAGTGTCTCCAAGTATACAGAAGAATATAGCCTTTCCGCATGTGTAGTCCGGCAATTTCCAATTACCACACATACTGCTTTCGGGTATTCTAAAGATGATCACTTATGCGAGAAAGATGTGTAATATTAAGGAGCTGGAGGGATGGATATCCTGGTATCTGTGCACAAGGAGGGGGCATGTGTCCCTCATGTCCCTGTTTTTGATGTGTAGAACTAATTTAATAAAAAGACAATAACCAGTTTGAATGAAAACCCTATTTTATTATTTGCAGGATAATAATGTGATGACATAATAAAAATCGAAATAACAGAACCCTTGAATGCTAATTAACCTGTATAAAAAATACTTTGTGCAGATGACGTGCTGAGGTTATTATTTACACTGAGCTCTAGATTGATGGGACTTGTTATCTGAGTTGATGTGCACTATTATCTATTATCACAATTACTAATGGATTGCTTGCTATTGCAGATTATACTTATGTACAGATAACTAAGGTTTTGTCCTATTATTATTAACAAAGTCCTTAGCGCTTTTATCTGATTGATAATAAAAAAAATGTGATTTTGAAAATAATTGTTAGTTGCAACCCTGAAATATAAACATGTATTCCAAACGCTAGTGTTTTGCTAACCATTTGGATTTGGCCCCAAATTATTCCCCCAAAACAAATTACTCACCTTATTTACCCTGGCATGCCATTCTCACCGCGGCTTCCACTCCTCTGCTGGCTGAGATGATCTCAGCCAATCCAAAGTCTCCACAATCGCCAATCAGCATCTCCTCATAGGAATTCACTGACTCAATGAATGTCTATAGGGAGCATTCGGCATCGCTGTGGAGACATTGAACGCTGGTCCTGCAATCTTTGCAGGACTGCCATCAGGAATCCACTCTAGTGACAGCCAGTCTTTGACTATTAAGCTGTCACTTTTGCTTTAAGTGGTGGTTAGTAGGTACAAGTGAAAAAAAGCATATTTACATAACAATAGTTTTCATAATATAAATAATTGCTTATTTGGTGTATCCCTACTGGGTAATACTGTGTTGTTGTGTGGATTATGTAAAAGACAAAAGTACCTGGAAAAAGTCTTGGATAGCAGCTGTAGCCTTACTGCGGACTCTCAGTAGCGAGCTAAACGTATTGGTTCTACAGCGGAGGTGAGGATACTGCCTGACGTATTCAGGGGGATGTCGTTCTTTTAACTTAAAGGGGAAATCCTGAAAGCAGAAGAAACCATTTATATTTCTCAGAACTTAATACTTTGATTCCAACTCACTGTGCTCAACCCCACACATATCTCCCACTTAATGTGCACCAACCCTTCAAGGTGAGTTCTACTTACCTGAACCAATCCCTCGTGGGTGCTGACATTTTTCCAGCAGGTACTCTTCAGCTCCTTGCGCTTCAGAATTGAGCAGTAAGACTGCAGGGGCATGATCTATACATTAAACTGCTTTATTAAGCTGGAGTTGTTTTAGTGACTATAGGTTCCCTTTCAACTCTGTGATGCTACTTTGCGTATAGAACCATGAAAGAAATTAGGAGAATTTAAAAAAAGTGTTTTGAAGTACTGCTGGGGAAAAAAAAACGATATATATTAACCTTAACCACACTCCTCACCATGGAAGGGCTGTCAAGTGGGACAACTACCTACTAGGCTGCTAGCATACAGGGGGCTCTCTGCTTCAGCCTCAAACCATTTTTTGCACCTCAAAATAATGGGACATAAAATTGGATGTCTGTTTGCAGAGTATTAACATAGTGAAGTAGCAGACAAGATCTGTGCATGGCAACACAATGTGCATTCGTGCATAGGTTTGTGAATGTAAAATGTTCCTGAAGGTGTTTACAAGTTGTGTAACACAACAGTTGTCATAGATGGAGTGGAGCTACAAGAAACAGAAATCTCTATACATGCTCTGTCACCCTGTGCAGATCATAGTGATGTAGATTCAGGGATATATGAAGTCACTTCCAGCAATCATTACTTGTTATTCTATGCTCTGTGACAGTAAGACCTTCAGCTCAGAGATATGTGAGTCTTGTGCACAAAAAAAGGGCTGTTTGTTTGTACCCTGTAGCGAAGAGGTAGTATAATCCACAGTATCTCCGCTGGGTAACAGGAACATCATAAAATAATCCAGGTAAATAAATACAACATACAATAATCCCGGGAGCGTTATAAGAATCCTTCCTTCCCAAGAACTAGACGACACATAGGATGGGAGTCAACTGAACGTTTATTCACAGGTCACTGTATTTATGAGATTCCCCATGCAAGGGGTTTCCTTACTGATATTCCAGGGGTGGTATAGTAGAGGACTACATGGGGAACTGACCAACACATACATTTCTCCCATCATGCACTGCTGCACGAGAGGGATACTACCACTAGAATATACCGTTAAGTGGATTATCACTCCGTGCAGCAGAACTTACATTTTACATTAAAATACATAACTTCCATTATATTCCCTTTATTTAAACGCATGGACGTTCGGTAGATAGCTGGGGGCTGAGCGCACAGTTCGTGAGAATACCGCTCAGCTCCCAGCCTAACTAACAGAACGCCGCACGAAATACACATTATTTCCAAAACACTGTTAAAGTACCAATTGGTATTAGGGGAACAAACTACTGAACGGACGGGGCTCCCGAACGGCCTGGAAGTCCAGCGGTGTTCGCGCCTTCGAGTAGCCGATTTTAGTTCCAGGCGCTCGACGGCAAAACACCGCTGGGCTAACAAAGGATCCAAGATGGCCGACCGCCGCGAGGTCGGTAGCCGAACGACGGCCACCTAGGGAAGCCTTTAACTACCGATTGCAACATTGTTTCAATGTTGCAATCGGTTAATGGGCGCCACACGACCGCTTGTGTGTGGTCAACCATTCGGTAGTTTATTCGTTTCACGAACAGTGTTGAAACTCACTGTTCGTGAAACTACATTAGGAATGCTGGGTTTTTCATACTGCAAGCATACGAACGCCCTCATTCGTCTGAAAGACACATACAGTATTACACTTGGTTCTCACAGCTGAAACAGGGATATAAACACATTCAATATATGGCTAGTCTTAAGTGGCTAGTTTTGCCACATACCCCTTCTCCCCCCACGTCATGCAAAGGGTTGTGCCACTACATCCCAATAAACACTGTTACAAGGGAAAGAGAAACTGTCAGTTATGGACAAGGAATTGTTACTATTTAATAAAATCACTTTAGTTGGCTAAAAAAGGCTTAATTAAATATTTCACAAATTATATCATATGGATAACAAAATTATGATTAATCAATTTAGAAAATGATCTACAAGGTCCTTACATAAGAGTCACACCCTCCGATGACTTTAATATCAGACGCATTTAGTTCCACGTTCTGCTTCTTGTGTAAACTCTTGACCAGTTTTCCAATGACTTCCACTGAGCTTCCAAAGGTCAGGGCACTGCAATATGTAATAAACATTTAGTGGGCACAAAATACCCATTTTTTATTATAAGGTTAATTCACACGTACAAGTTTATTTTTTCTTGAGGTGGCTCACCATAATAAGAACTAATATTTGCACCATTAGATATAATTTTTTAAAACTGTGGATACTTTGTATTAACCGTTTTTAATTATTCATAACATTTTTATTTGGTTTTATAAAAATGTTATTAAAATTCTGATTAGATGCTGACATCACATGTTTTTTTTTTAAATCAGTATTTTTCACCAAGGCTTTGAAATTCATAGAAACATAGAATGTGATGGCAGATAAGAACCATTCGGCCCATCTAGTCTGCCCAATTTTCTAAATACTTTCGTTAGTCCCTGGCCTTATCTTATGGTTACGGTAGCCTTATGCACATCACACGTGATTAAACTCCCTCACTGTGTTAACCTCTACCACTTCAGTTGGGAGGCTATTCCATGCATCCACTACCCTCTCAGTAAAGTAAAACTTCCTGATATTTTTAAACCTTTGCCCCTCTAATTTAAGACTATGTCCTCTTGTTGTGGTAGTTTTTCGTCTTTTAAATATAGTCTCCTCCTTTCTTGTGTTGATTCCCTTTATGTATTTTAATGTTTCTATAATTTCCCCGTCTCATCTTTCCTCCAAGCTATACATGTTAAGATCCTTTAATGTTTCCTTGTAAGTTTTATCCTGCAATCTATGAACCAGTTTCAGTTTTCTCTGAACTCTCTCTAAAGTATCAATTTCCTTCTGGAGATACGGTCTCCAGTACTGCGTACAATGATCCAAGTGAGGTCTCACCAGTGTAATTCGAAATGCTTTTACAAAATGGCACCTCTTTTTCAAAACATCTTATCTTCAAGCAGCAATTCATGCTAAAAGTACTGTAGCTTGCTTAGATGAAAATAATTTCATTTGTTTGCATTCTCGATTTAAGCATATTTATGGAAAGACTTTTTCAGCTGGCAGTAACACTTTAAGAAAAGCTAACTGGACACAGAATGTAGACAACGATTAATGGAATGTGTGAAAACTATACTTTCGGGAGAATGGTGCACAATGTATATTTATAGGGATAGACAATGATAAAAAGACACTTCCACTCTAAAACAGAAAATCAGTAAATTTATAAATTCTTACTTCGCAAGTTAACTCAATATGTAATGTGACATGCTACAGGAGCTTGGACAGGAACATATACAGGATGTAACTAAAAAAACAAGAACGAACATAAGGAAGTACAAGGTGCTTAAAGGAATATTCCAAGCACCATAACCACTACAGCCCGCTGCAGTTGCAAATAGGTGCTTTGGCGCAATCCCATGGTTAGATATGACATGGCATGACAATTTACCAGGATTCTGCTGGGCACCAGCACTGCATCTAGCCTTCTCCAGCAGAAGAGCTGGATTTCTTAATAGAACCAAGTAGCATCATGCACACTGGCAGAGAGCATCAGCTAAGCACTCTTAGGCAATGAGTAGGGACATGTTTCAGCGGTGCTTAACTCTACAGAGGCATTGCGCTTTTCCTGTTCATGAAGACTGGCTGCGGCGTGGATGCCCGGCAGGAGCCATGTACATTGTTAAACCATAATAAAAAAAAAAAAGGCACATGTACATATGTTGTTTAGGGATCGACCGATTATCGGTTTTACCGATATAATCGGCCGATATTCAGTATTTTCGGCAATATCGGTATCGGCCAATTCAGATACCGATATTGCCGATAATACCTCCTAGGACCGCCAGGCTCATTACAAGCCCGGCGGTCCTGGGGGGGAGCGGGCATCAAGCGCTTACTCACCTCCCAGCAGCTCCTCCAGCTCCCCAGTGCAACTCTCGCGAGACCCGCGGCCGTCCGAGCGTTGCCATGGGTCACCATGGCAACGCTCCGCGCGACACGCTGGCCGCGAGAGTTACACTGGGGAGCTGGAGGAGCTGCTGGGAGGTGAGTAAGCGCTTGATGCCCGCTCCCCCCAGCTCAGCCAATACCACTGGACCACCAGGGATGGTCATATCCCCTCCCTGGCCAAGTATGAAACAGGGAGGGGGGGACAACAAAAATAAATATTAAATATATTTATATAAAAAAAAATGTAATAAAAAATGCCCCCCCTCACACACACACTCCATTATATACACATACACTACACAAACACACTGTGTATATAATGCAGTGTGTTTGTATAGTCTGTTTGTGTAGTGTGTTTATATAATGCACACTACACAAACACACTACACACTGCATTATATACACACACACACTACACAAACACACTGTGTATATAATGCAGTGTGTATACAATGCAGTGTTTGTGTAGTGTGTGTATACAATGCATTGTTTGTGTAGTGAGTGTATATAATGCAGTGTGTGTATAATGCAGTGCGTGTATACAATGCAGTGTTTGTGTAGTGTGTGTATAATGCAGTGTGTGTAGTGTGCGTATATAATGCAGTGTGTTTAGTGTGTGTATATAATTAATGCAGTGTGTTTGCATAGTGTGTTTATATAATGCACACTACACAAACACTGCATTATATATACACACACACTATACAAACACACACACACACTCTGCATTATATAAACACACACTTTGCATTTAGTATATACTGCATTCACTTTACACACACTACACAATCACTCTGCTTTCATTATATACACACACTACACTAATACACACTGCATCCACTACACACTAGACAAATACACACTGCATCCACTACACACTAGACAAATACACACTGCATCCACTACACACTAGACAAACACACACTGCATCCACTACACACACTACACAAACATACACTGCATCCACTACACAAACACATACAGCTCCCCTGTCTAAACACACTGTATCCACTACACGTGGCATGTATATTTTGTGCATTTACCTTTAGAAATAGTTTTTATTTTCCAAAATGGTAAATGTACAGAATATCGGCAAATTATATCGGCTATCGGCCTGAAAGTTCACGGAATATCGGTATCGGCTCTAAAAAAATCAATATCGGTCGATCCCTAATGTTGTTAGTGGAATTACCAGCAAATGGATATTCTAAATGGTATGCTTACCTGACGCTTTGCCCTCAGTCTACTCCATGATGGCTGCTAAAAAAGACATACACGGCCTCCCCAAATGGTAAACTAGCCAGCCTGCACTTACACCTGTGGGTGGAAATGGATGCTCCCCTAACCATTCTGGCAGACATAACATTTTTGCTATAATGCCAGCAATTCAGAAGTCTAAATTTGCTGATAAGTTGAGTAGCACAAGATATGGATACAAATATATTATCCAAATACTATTATTTCTATTACATAAATTGTATTCATTTCTGAGCAGTAGGCATGAAGATTTGGGATTCTTTTATATGCATTTGATTCTTAGAGTTTTTAGACCACTTGTACCTCACTGGTAGATCACAGAGACTAACATTAGGAATAAAGCTCATCGGCACCAACAGAACTGGCCTGCGGAGTTCCACAAGGATCCATCTTGTCTCCCATGCTATTCGCAATTTACTTGCTACCACTGGGGGACATCATCAGGCAACATGGCCCAAGATATCACTGCTGTGCTGATGACACACAACTCTACTTCTCCTTTGCTCCAGATACCACAGAACCACCATGCCGCATCAACAGTTGCTTAGCAGACCTTGAAGAATGGATGAATGCTAGTTGGCTTAAAGTGAACCCGGACAAAACAGAGTTACTCTTGGTGAGGAGACCCCGGGCAACAAATATATCCCATGATCACCCAATTGGCCTGGAGCTTGGGGGCTCTGAACTCATTAGTTCATCAAAAGTACGAAACCTCGGAGTGCTGATTGACTCTGGACTATCATTTAAACAGCAGATTTCCTCCGTAATAAAATCTGCCTACTTTCATCTGAAAAACATAGCCAGGATACAACACTTAATTCCACCGGATGATATGCCAACATTAATCCATGCATTTGTATCCTTTCAGCTAGATTACTGCAATGTACTTTAATTGGGACTCCCAGAAAAAGAACTCTATCGCCTTCATACTGTACAAAATGCAGCAGCCAGACTACTGACCAATCAAACTCGCTCCTGTCACATAACACCTGTTCTCAACTCCCTGCATTGGCTTCCAATTAAATGGCAAACATATTTTAAAATTGAACAAAGTGAACACTCAGTGTAGGAGATTAGAAATAAAAACCACCACTGGTGTACATGTGGAGCGCTCAAATGTTAAGAAGATATTCTGAAACAATGTATCTGAAACAAATCTAGATACAAATAGTTCAAGTAACGCTGGGTAACAGACACAAAAAGTAAATATACTATATAGACCCACTCACATATAACTGAGCCAATTAGGATAGGCTCAGATCACAGCGGCGTGTGTGTACTTAAGGCGACACAATACCCAATCGATCCTCTAATCGTCTGTGGTCCTTATACATACATAAAGGAAGTAAAAAAGGAGAGATCCTTGTGTAGTAAGTCACAGTGTTCAGTGGTGAATATTAAAATAAATGGCTTCTCACCTGGTAGGGAGCCCTTATACCTGGCTCCTAGTAGGGATCGACCGATTATCGGTTTTACCGATATAATCGGCCGATATTCGGTATTCTCTGCAATATCGGCCAATTCAGATACCGATATTGCCGATAATACCTCCTAGGACCGCCAGGCTCATTACAAGCCCGGCGGTCCTGGGGGGGCGGAGAGCAAGCGCTTACTCACCTCCCAGCAGCTCCTCCAGTGCAACTCTCGCGAGACCCGCGGCCGTCAGAGCGTTGCCATGGATCACCATGGCAACGCTCCGCGCGACACGCTGGCCGCGAGAGTTGCACTGGGGAGCTGGAGGAGCTGCTGGGAGGTGAGTAAGCGCTTGCTCTCCGCCCCCCCAAAGCTCAGCCAATACCACTGGACCACCAGGGACTGTCATATCCCCCCTCCCTGGCCAGGTAACAAGCAGGGAGGGGGGACAACAAAAATAAATAATAATTAAGTAAATATAATTTTTTTTAAATAATTTAATAAAAAATGCCCCCTCACACACTGCATTATATACACATACACTACACAAACACACTGTGTATATAATGCAGTGTGTGTTTGTATAGTGTGTGTGTTTGTATACAATGCACACAAACACACTGCATTATATACCCACACTACACAAACACACTGCATTATATACCCACACTACACAAACACACACTGCATTATATACACACACTGTACAAACACACACTGCATTATATACACAGTGTGTTTGTGTAGTGTGTGTATATAATGCAGTGTGTGTTTGTGTAGTGTGGGTATATAATGCAGTGTGTGTTTGTGTAGTGTGGGTATATAATGCAGTGTGTTTGTGTAGTGTGGGTATATAATGCAGTGTGTGTTTGTGTAGTGTGGGTATATAATGCAGTGTGTTTGTGTAGTGTGTTTATATAATTCGGTGTGTGTTTATGTAGTGTGTTTGTGCAGTGTGTTTGTGTAGTGTGTATATAATGCAGTGTGTGTGTTTGTGTAGTGTGTTTATATAATGCAGTGTTTGTGTAGTGTGTGTATATAATGCAGTGTGTGTGGTGTGTGTATATAATGCAGTGTGTTTGTGTAGTGTGTTTATATAATGCACACTACACAAACACACTGCATTATATACACACTATACAAACACACACTCTGCATTATATAAACACTACATTCACTATACACACACTACACAAATACACACACTCTGCATTCATTATATACACACACACTTTGCATTTAGTATATACAGCATTCACTTTATGCACACTACCCACACACTACACAAACACTCTGCTTTCATTATATACACACTACACTAATACACACTGCATCCACTACACACACTAGACAAATACACACTGCATCCACTACACACACTAGACAAATACACACTGCATCCACTACACAAACACACATTGCATCCTCCACACACACTACACAAACACACACTGCATCCATAACACACACACTACACAAACACACATTGCATCCTCCACACACACTACACAAACACACACTGCATCCATAACACACACACTACACAAACACACACTGCATCCACTACACACACACTACACAAACACACACAGCTCCCCTGTCACACTGCATCCACTACATGTGGCATGTATATTTTGTGCATTTACCTTTAGAAATAGTTTTTATTTTCCAAAATGGTAAATGTACAGAATATCGGCAAATTATATCGGCTATCGGCCTGAAAGTTCACAGAATATCGGTATCGGTATCGGCTCTGAAAAATCAATATCGGTCGATCCCTAGCTCCTAGTGTGTAGGTATCTGTGCCTTTAAGGAGGCTACCACCCTTCTTTTAGCAGCAAAAGATGGAAGATGGACTTCAATGTGGGACAAAATTTATTCATAAAATATTAAATAAAATGCAAACAAAAGAATATAAGCTAAATTATATAAATATAAAGAAAAATGAATAAAAAGTCAATGGAAAGTCCTTTCTTCCAGCCGAGACGCGTTTCGCTGTACTGTGACAGCTCTCAATCGGTAATGTAAAGATAAATAACAGTGATCCAATGTGTGCTACGTGCAACTGTGTAAGAGACTCTAACACCCTGGTGAGGTTCCCTTAACCTTCACCAAAAAAGAGATACAAACACCACAAAATATAAGGCGGAGTATCTTACATGCACTTTCTTAGTAGTCCTTTGCATAGGTACATTTCTTATGGTATGCTCTAAAGAAAGTAAAATAGCAAAAAGATAGTGCAATATTGCTAGTACTCTTATTTTTGTAAGTCCAATCAAGTCTTTATAAATGCACACTCACAAAGGTGGAGCCACTAAAGATTGGGCTCAAGTTGTTCACTTTATGGGATGTAAAGGATCCCACTCCCTCCTCTGTGCTTCAGGTTCCTTATGCAGGGTAATCACAGGTTCACAGGCAAAATATAATAAAATTACATTTATTAATATAAACAAAATAAAAAGAATAATATTAAAAGACCTTACAAGCTCTGTTGAATAGTCTTAGTAGCAAAACGCGTTTCGCCCCTTCATGGGGCTTCCTCAGTTGCTGTAAATCTTCATAGATGACTCTTCATTTTTAAAAGCCATTTACTGCCGCTTTTTTTCCTCTCTCTCTTCATTTCCGGTTCGCCGGACTTCCGGTTTCCGGTCCTTGCGTTCCACCCTTGGAACGCACAGCCGCCATGTGTAGCTTTCTTATGAAGTGCCGATCTCTTTTCATCCAGGCTTTTGCGTTCCACAATTGGAACGCAATACAGGATTCCCCCAAAGTCTTTTGTTTAGAACATTTTTCACATGTTGTTTGTTGTTTAATTCTTTAGTTGGTTTTATGGCTAATTCTTATGTAAAAGCATATGATGTACACAGAACTCAATGTATAAAACAATAAAAAAGGAATGTAATTTCTATTTATAATATAAGAAGAAGAAGTGCTAGTACAAATTACAAAATATATATATATATAAATATAGAGAAAAATATGTATGCATAAAAAAGGAGGAATATATTTACATACACACCACTGGTTATAGAGGTAATGTCTAAATGTACATCAGACTCCTCATCTCTCTAAAAGGACAATATTTCAGCTAAAATATGGCAGAATTCTTAAATGTAAACCTCTATGTTATAGCATATAGGTATAATGAAAAAGTATATAAAATACAATCACTCATAAAAAAAAATAAAAAAATATTTAATTAAAAGTATCGCTAAAAATGACATATCTCAAAATCAGTATTAAGACCATACGGGGCTAGGGAATTGAATTCGAAGATACACTTCATTTCTTCTTTTCCTAATTTTCGAATATAATCTCCTCCCCTCCAGTCCCTCTTGACCTCTTTAATAGCACAAAAGAATAAATTGCTTGGATTTTGATCGTGCACTTCTTTAAAATGGAGCGGAACACTATGTGTCTCCAGCCCATTTCTGATGTTCCTGATGTGTTCCGCAATTCTTACTTTCAGTGGTCTAATTGTTCTGCCTATATATAATAGGTCACATGGGCACTTCAAAATGTATATAATTCCCTTTGTGTGACAAGTTAGATGGTCCTTTATACAGTAGGGTTTTTTTACAATGTGTCCTATGTCTTTCAAATGTCTTTTTTTGCTATTAGTTGTTCTACAGGGTAGACAAGTCCCACATCCATAAAAACCTTTTAAATCCTCTAAAAAATGACTAGGTTTTTTAGGGCTAAGGCAACTCTTAACTAAAATGTTCTTAAAATTCTTTGCGCCTCTATAAATGATTTTGGGTTCCGGTGTAAAACCTTATTGAGAATAGGATCATCTTGTAACAAATGCCAGTGTTTTTTAATTATTTTCCTTATTTGTTTATTCCGTCCATTATAATTGCAAATGAAGGGTATATTGTTACTATTTCCTTGCTCTTTTTTAGGTTTATATTTTATAAGCTCCTTTCTTGGTATTTCTTTTACTTCTTTAATATTTTTCTCTAAAATTTCTTTGTTATATCCCTTTTCTATAAATTGTTGTTTAATATACTCGGTTTGTTCTATATAATCGGATTCTTTTTTACAATTCCTTCGAATCCGTAGGAATTGGCCTCTCGGCGCATTCTCTAGCCACGGGTTGTAATGGCAACTGTTTCTTTCTATATACCCGTTGGCATCCACTGGTTTAAAAATTTTTTTTGTATTGATCTTATCATCCTCTATATATATATACAAATCCAAAAAGTTTATTTTCACTTCACTAATACAGCTTGTTAGATGAATCCCCCAATCGTTTGAATTTAAATACGTAATAAAATCATTCAGTTGATCATGGTTACCTGTCCAAATAAAAAATATGTCGTCTATGTACCGGCGATAGGACACCAAATATGCCCCCCACTCATGGCCCTTGGTTACAAAAGCTTCTTCCCAAAATGCCATGAAAAGGTTGGCGTAGCTGGGGGCAAACTTGGTGCCCATCGCCGTTCCACAGATCTGAAGATAAAATTCGTTCTCAAACCAAAAAAAATTGTTTGTCAGAATTAAAAGAATGCCCTCTAGAATAAAATCTATCTGTTCACCCTTAAAATCTGATTTGGACAGAAAGTGCCGTACTGCTGCCATCCCTTTCTCATGAGGTATTATGGTGTATAAGGAAGTGACATCGCAGGTTACTAATAAGTAACCTTGCTGCCAAACTGTATCTTCCAAAATTTGTAACATATGGATTGTATCCTTAAGGTACGACGGAGTTGCCAAAACTAACGGCTGTAGGAGAGTGTCTATATATTCCGACACTCTTGTGGAGACAGAATCTATTCCTGATATTATGGGTCTGCCGGGGGGCTCCGTGATGTTTTTATGCACTTTCGGGAGGTGATAAAAAACTGGAATTTTAGGATAAGTTACAAATAAGTATCCAGCTTCTTTTTCATTAAGTATCTTTAAATCCTTCCCTTTTTCTACATATTTCTTAAATGCATTTATAGTCTGTTTAAGGGGATTATATGTAAGTTTTTTGTACGTTGTAGAATCTGATAGAATCCTTTTAGCTTCCTTCAAGTACTGAGGTCTGTTGAACATCACGATTCCCCCTCCCTTATCTGCTGGTTTGATTATCAGGTTGGGATTGTCTCTTATTTCCTTTAGTGCTTTCTTTTCTCCTACTGTTAAATTTTGTTGGTACTTATTCTCTTTTTTGTATTTCTTTACTTCCTTCATAACCATTTTTTCAAAAGTTTTTATCTCATGGGAAATGAGATGACGTGGAAAAAATTGTGATTTTTCTTTAAGTGATGTATGTTGGTATTCATCTATACTTTCCTTTTCTTTGGACGTCTGCTCTGTCCTTTTATAAAAGAATTTCTTTAAACATAATTTCCTTATAAAATGGTTCATATCTATAAAAAAAATTAAAAGCATTAAAATCCGCAGTTGGGGCAAACTTTAAGCCCTTTTTAAAAATGTTTATTTGTTCTTTCGTAAGTGGTTCATCTGCAACATTAAAAATTCCTTTTAGATCGATGTCTTCCCCCTCTTCTCTCTGTGGCTCCTTCCTATCTCTTCTCTTTCTTCTTCTTCTTCTATTGATCTTTGTCTCTTTCCCTGTGTGTCCCATAATTGTATATCGTTCGTCCATTTCCTTCTGTTCTGTATCAAATCCCTCCGAAAAAAAGAAGGTGACGGGGGAGTGTCTGGAGGTAAAGATTTGCTTATACTTCTATTCCTTGTCAGAGTAGGTTCTAATCTGTCACTATTGTACTGTCTTGAACTCACTATTTTCCCTGTTTGATGTGTTTTCTGATAATGGTGTGGGCCTTCTTTTACCACATCACTATACATTCTAGATTTGGTGGCATGATAATGTCTCCCTATTTCTTGTGTGTTGATATGATCTCCATTCTTATGATGTCCTACTGCCGTTGTGTACTGTAGTTCTCCCCTAATGGGTGTGATAGGTGGATTCTGTGACTCTGAAATGAATCGTGAGTTAGATCTCTTCCTATTGATATCTCCCTCTAACCTTATAGAGCTTCTCTTCGGTGAGAATTTATGAGGAAATCCCCTATCGTCTCTTCTGAATTTTTTTTGGTTTGAGAACGAATTTTATCTTCAGATCTGTGGAACGGCGATGGGCACCAAGTTTGCCCCCAGCTACGCCAACCTTTTCATGGCATTTTGGGAAGAAGCTTTTGTAACCAAGGGCCATGAGTGGGGGGCATATTTGGTGTCCTATCGCCGGTACATAGACGACATATTTTTTATTTGGACAGGTAACCATGATCAACTGAATGATTTTATTACGTATTTAAATTCAAACGATTGGGGGATTCATCTAACAAGCTGTATTAGTGAAGTGAAAATAAACTTTTTGGATTTGTATATATATATAGAGGATGATAAGATCAATACAAAAAAAATTTTTAAACCAGTGGATGCCAACGGGTATATAGAAAGAAACAGTTGCCATTACAACCCGTGGCTAGAGAATGCGCCGAGAGGCCAATTCCTACGGATTCGAAGGAATTGTAAAAAAGAATCCGATTATATAGAACAAACCGAGTATATTAAACAACAATTTATAGAAAAGGGATATAACAAAGAAATTTTAGAGAAAAATATTAAAGAAGTAAAAGAAATACCAAGAAAGGAGCTTATAAAATATAAACCTAAAAAAGAGCAAGGAAATAGTAACAATATACCCTTCATTTGCAATTATAATGGACGGAATAAACAAATAAGGAAAATAATTAAAAAACACTGGCATTTGTTACAAGATGATCCTATTCTCAATAAGGTTTTACAGCCGGAACCCAAAATCATTTATAGAGGCGCAAAGAATTTTAAGAACATTTTAGTTAAGAGTTGCCTTAGCCCTAAAAAACCTAGTCATTTTTTAGAGGATTTAAAAGGTTTTTATGGATGTGGGACTTGTCTACCCTGTAGAACAACTAATAGCAAAAAAAGACATTTGAAAGACATAGGACACATTGTAAAAAAACCCTACTGTATAAAGGACCATCTAACTTGTCACACAAAGGGAATTATATACATTTTGAAGTGCCCATGTGACCTATTATATATAGGCAGAACAATTAGACCACTGAAAGTAAGAATTGCGGAACACATCAGGAACATCAGAAATGGGCTGGAGACACATAGTGTTCCGCTCCATTTTAAAGAAGTGCACGATCAAAATCCAAGCAATTTATTCTTTTGTGCTATTAAAGAGGTCAAGAGGGACTGGAGGGGAGGAGATTATATTCGAAAATTAGGAAAAGAAGAAATGAAGTGTATCTTCGAATTCAATTCCCTAGCCCCGTATGGTCTTAATACTGATTTTGAGATATGTCATTTTTAGCGATACTTTTAATTAAATATTTTTTTTTTTTTTTTTTATGAGTGATTGTATTTTATATACTTTTTTATTATACCTATATGCTATAACATAGAGGTTTACATTTAAGAATTCTGCCATATTTTAGCTGAAATATTGTCCTTTTAGAGAGATGAGGAGTCTGATGTACATTTAGACATTACCTCTATAACCAGTGGTGTGTATGTAAATATATTCCTCCTTTTTTATGCATACATATTTTTCTCTATATTTATATATATATATATTTTGTAATTTGTACTAGCACTTCTTCTTCTTATATTATAAATAGAAATTACATTCCTTTTTTATTGTTTTATACATTGAGTTCTGTGTACATCATATGCTTTTACATAAGAATTAGCCATAAAACCAACTAAAGAATTAAACAACAAACAACATGTGAAAAATGTTCTAAACAAAAGACTTTGGGGGAATCCTGTATTGCGTTCCAATTGTGGAACGCAAAAGCCTGGATGAAAAGAGATCGGCACTTCATAAGAAAGCTACGCATGGCGGCTGTGCGTTCCAAGGGTGGAACGCAAGGACCGGAAACCGGAAGTCCGGCGAACCGGAAATGAAGAGAGAGAGGAAAAAAAGCGGCAGTAAATGGCTTTTAAAAATGAAGAGTCATCTATGAAGATTTACAGCAACTGAGGAAGCCCCATGAAGGGGCGAAACGCGTTTTGCTACTAAGACTATTCAACAGAGCTTGTAAGGTCTTTTAATATTATTCTTTTTATTTTGTTTATATTAATAAATGTAATTTTATTATATTTTGCCTGTGAACCTGTGATTACCCTGCATAAGGAACCTGAAGCACAGAGGAGGGAGTGGGATCCTTTACATCCCATAAAGTGAACAACTTGAGCCCAATCTTTAGTGGCTCCACCTTTGTGAGTGTGCATTTATAAAGACTTGATTGGACTTACAAAAATAAGAGTACTAGCAATATTGCACTATCTTTTTGCTATTTTACTTTCTTTAGAGCATACCATAAGAAATGTACCTATGCAAAGGACTACTAAGAAAGTGCATGTAAGATACTCCGCCTTATATTTTGTGGTGTCTCAATCGGTAATGTGTTTGCTGCTTGTGGTGATTTAAATATTGTGTCTTTCAACTTGATTGGTGCTTCAATCTTCTCATTATCCAATCCCCATACAGACGTGCTTTTTTTTGCAGAATAGTTCCTATTGGTCGCCGTCATACTTCCGGTTTCGGCGCGTCCCACGTGACCCGGAACGTCACGTGTCGCGTCACAAACCGGAACGTGTAACTGTGGCGTCCATCTTAGATTTGGGAAAATGCCCTCTTTGTGCAGGAGTCCGGTATGAACAGTATCCATGTAGAAGTTTTAAAAAACTTCTTCACCCCAGTGTGTAAGGGGTGTGCGTGAAGGGGTAAGGGATGGGTGTGAAGGGTGCATAAGGTCTATGCTTTGTGTGGGTGTGTGAGATGTAAAAATCTATATTAATGTTTCCTCCCTTCTTTTTACATTTTACCAGGGAGGGGGGACATAATGCTGCAAGCCCTGGTGGTCCAGTGGTGGCATGTTCATTTTACCCTGCAGCTCCTCTGTCTGCAGACTGACACTGCTGTCTTCCGGGAGGAAGAGCACTGTATTGGAGCATTGTCATGGTAACACACGGCACCGCTCTGACCATCCTGTTCGCTGGAGGAACACAGAGCCTCCCAGGCCATTCCCTCCCTCTGCTGGAACTAAGTGCCAGCGGGCCCGTGTGGGAGATCTGTGATCTCCTCACCAGCCCGAGAGGGCTTACAGCAAGGCTGACTCTGCATGGGCTGGCAGTTGAGATGAAAGGATCTCCCCTGCCGGCCTTGGTCCACGGCCATCGAGGCCCACTGGGCGTTTTCTGCAGAACCCACCACTGCCCACCTGAAATCCCAACCCGCCGACTAGTGGGCGGTAGAGACCAGGTTGACTACCGATGATATAGACAGTCTATATCCGGAACAAGCTAAAAAAACAAAAATAAAATACATAGTGCAAACGCTATAAAACAGACACCATGCCCCTAAAATAGGATAAAACTCACAGGATATAGAGCCATCCCAAGCTCTATATAAAGGGCTCCTGGAGGCCTATACATGCTAGGATGGTAGTCTTGAAGGAGACAACAATTTATTGAGATACAAAATAACATGAAGTAAAAAAGGGACAAAATTAGCAGTTTAATAAATAAAAAAGGCATGTAGCCTAAAGTCATTGCATAACATATGAACAAAAAGTCCCCAAAAAAACACAGCATATGAGTTTCAACTCCAGCGGGAGTCTTCCTCAGTGCTGTGTTGCGCTCTCCAACATCCAAATGAATACTGTTGTAATCAGTGTTCAATTCTGCCCGGCTGTGCCACTTCCTATTTCAGGCACGACGGATGTGTCCCTTTTTTAAGTTTCCGTCGCAGCGGATGTGCGTCATAATTAATAAACATTTTCAACATTCCACACAACAGCCGTATTTTACGTTTGCTGCAAGTATTTTATAAAATGTATCATCTAACTGCACAAATGTTAACCCAGTACAAAATGGTGACACTGTGAGTTTAGCCAGAGCCCAAAACATAAGAACCGAAAATGTTTTTTTTTTTATTAAGGTTATTACATTTACCAGCCCAAACCTATACAAAGCATGTACTTATTAAGAAGAACACATGTTATAGACGGTACATGTGTCCAGAGCGTAATTGGAAACCACGGGCCCCGGTGCAAAAATTGCCCTGGACCCCCCCATACCTCCTGCCCCACACATGCAGACAGATACAAATACATACAGACACATACATAGATACACACACATACAGGCACATACTTACACATATAAAGAGAAACATTCATACAGAGACACATACATACAAAATGGTTTAGTCATCCTCCTGTTTCCTACCTTTTAGGTGCAGGAGGGTGACTTTCCCTGGGGTCCAGTGGCTCAGCCTGATGGGGGTCAGAGTTCCCACTCTGACTCCCTCCTCCTGCGCTGCACCAGGTGTAAGCTGGGAGGAGTGAACGGGCCCCATGGAAATTCATTGGGCCCCTTCAGTGTGGCCCCAGTGGCTAAAGCCGGGAGGGCACCGCAGTCGCACCTCCTGGTCGCAGCTGCGACTGCGGTAGTTCCGCCACTGTATGTGTCGCTTCTGAATAGCTCAGATAAATCATGTATAGATAAAATGCACTGATGTCAGAGATGAAGTTTCACAGGTTTCGCTAAAGGGACACTATAATCACACAGGCCACTTTATCTCGTTGAAGTGGTCTGAATGCAGTACTCATATCTGTTTAACTCTGCAATATAAAACAATGCCGTTTCTGAGAAACTGCAATGATTACATTGCAGGGTTAACTCTACATCTAGTGGTTTTCTTCCAGACAGCCACTAGTGGCGCTTCCAGGTCCTTATTGGAGTTTTGCTCCATTAAACGACAAGCTTTGTATGATAACATCTAACAGCTTCAAATTGATTCAATGCATTCTATGGGGATGCATTAATGCATGGATGGTGCTCGCCTTGCATTACATACCACCATCACAGTGATGTTACAGGGTGGCTTGGCGCTGGAAAAAACCTTAATCATAGGATGGTGGGGGGGGGAGGGAGTGTGAGCAGGGGTGGCTGATTAAGTCGGGGACAGTGACACTATAGTGTTGGGAATACAGGTTTGTATTCCTAACGCCATAGTATTTCTTTACGTTTTGTATTCAGCATAAGGAGCTCTGACTTTACAGTTTTTAATAGGTGATAAAATGACTCACCTGGTTTTCAGATTTGGTTCTGCAACAACCTGTAGGCTTTCTAAGGATGAGCCATCATTGACGTGCAGGAATAAAATATCTTTCTGGGACCTAACCGAGCGTACCCATCCCTTAAAAATAACGGGAAAATAGTGAGTATTTAAAACTGCATTCCAACTCCCCAAACATGTCCTGCAAGAGCCCTAGATTGTATTTTATATTCTCCTATTTACGTATTTTATTACATGCTGTGGGATGTATTTGCCTTTTCATGGTTAAAAAAGGAATGGTTATATATTTAGAGATATTGGCCATTTCCTTTCTATTTTTATTTAGGCATTTAACTTGGAAATAGCCCCATAAAAGAATCTTCATACAACAACTTCACTTCCTGTATCATACTAAAAGGATTTGATTTCATCTTTACCGGAGGCTAATGAAGTGTTGCTGCTAAGATTTTTTTGAATCACAGGTTGGAATAGAGTTACTGCAAAAACAGAGACATTATAATAAGCATGTTTCTTCTTTAAAGCTAATTTAAAATGTATTAAAATCCACAGTTCTCACATTTAAAGGAACACTATAGTCACCTAAATTACTTTAGCTAAATAAAGCAGTTTTAGTGTATAGATCATTCCCCTGCAATTTCACTGCTCAATTCACTGTCATTTAGGAGTTAAATCACTTTGTTTCTGTTTATGCAGCCCTAGCCACACCTCCCCTGGCTATGATTGACAGAGCCTGCATGAAAAAAAAAAACTGGTTTCACTTTCAAACAGATGTAATTTACCTTAAATAATTGTATCTCAATCTCTAAATTGAACTTTAATCACATACAGGAGGCTCTTGCAGGGTCTAGCAAGCTATTAACATAGCAGGGGATAAGAAAATCTTAATTAAACAGAACTTGCAATAAAGAAAGCCTAGATAGGGCTCTCTTTACAGGAAGTGTTTATGGAAGGCTGTGCAAGTCACATGCAGGGAGGTGTGACTAGGGTTCATAAGCAAAAGGATTTAAATCCTAAATGGCAGAGGCTTGAGCAGTGAGGCTGCAGGGGCATGTTCTATACACCAAAACTGCTTCATTAACCTAAAGTTGTTCAGGTGACTATAGTGTCCCTTTAAGATGTCTATTTGAAAGTATAATCATATGACTTTCTTGCGCTGTTTACCTGTAGTTTAATACTATTAGGACTCCCTTCAACACTGGCAAGTGCTTCCCGCACGCTTAGCTTCGAAACTGCCCCTAAATGCCTTCTGTGACGGCAATGCCATTGACAGAAACTCAGCAGTGCCGGAGCCATCTTCCGGGGGAAGAACATGATTCAAAGTATGATGATCCCAAGTATGTTGTAATGTCATGTACAGCCAGCTGAAATGCACAAAAATCAGCTATAAAAAAGTCACAGAGGCACAAGAAGATAGTATGGCAGGACCCTTCATTGTGAACTGTTCTAGTAACCTTCCTTTTCCCGTACATGAAATAAATCCCACCATTTAACCTACTCCCTGTAGCATGTAAGCTCATTGAGCAGGCCATCAACCCCCTGTTCCTGTGTGTCCAACTCATCTTGTTGCAAATACATGTCTGTTAATCCACCTATTGTACAGCGCTGCGGGATATGTTTGCGCTTTATATAATAATAATATAATGTATTACGTATACTAGTGTTAATTACATTATATATAGTATACTGTATTAGAAATACTACTGTTAATGACACTGTATATAGAATACTGTACTAATGTTAATGACATTGTATGTGGTATACTATATTAGATATACTAGTATCAATTATATAAGATATAGTATACTGTATTAGGAATACAAGTGTTAATGACATGGTATATAGTATATTGTATTAGTGACATGGTATATAGTATACTGTATTAGTGTTAATGACATGGTATATAGTATACTGTATTAGTGACATTGTATACAGTATACTGTATTAGGTATATTAGTATTAGTGACATGGTATATAGTACACTGTATTAGTGACACTGTATATAGTATAATGTATTAGTGATATTGTATATAGTATAATGTATTAGGTATATTAGTGTTAATGATGCTGTATACTGTATTAGGTGTATTGGTGACATGGTATATAGTATACTGTATTAGTGACATTGTATATAGTATACTGTATTAGTGATATTGTATATAGTATATAGTGTTAATGATGCTGCATACTGTATTAGTGACATTGTATATAGTATACTGTATTAGGTATATTAGTGTTAATGATGTATATAGTATTGGGAATATTAGTGTTAATGGTGTTATATGCAGTATACACAGTGTGCATGGTATTATATGCAGTATACACAGTGTGCTGGGCAGTGTTAATGGTATTATATACAGTATACACAGTGTGCATGGTATTATATGCAGTATACACACTGTGCTGTGCTTCTTACATTGATAATATACAGAAACAGATCTTAACCCTGGGCTGTTCATGCCACTAATGATATTATGTATATTATATATACACACAGTGCCCAGCATACTAGTGGAAATGCTTTACCTGCACTCACACTTCCTCTCTGTGTCCTTACGCTGCTCACATGGCTATTCACGAACGCGCGCACACGCAGATACGTAGAACGCTCACCAGCACTCCCAGGGGGGGTTCTGCCGACGCGCATGCGCACCTCACCTAATGGATACTAAGCCCTGAAGAGGTCGCGGGTGAGAGTCATAGAACTGCGCGTGCGCAGAAAGCCATCCCTCGGGTTCTCCGCGTGTTCTGCAGTTGCGTTCATTGGGCATGTGAGAGGTCACGTCCCTCATAGCATTTAATACCTCAGGAGAGATTCTCCGCAATACTACCGTCATCAGTGTTTGCTTATTGTTACAGTCATACTTCTACCATTCATTATAAATCCTTAAAGCAGGACTGTCACACAGCTCCCCAACCCCCAAAAGTGTTTTATTTCACTATTGGCCATCTCTTCAAATTTAGTGTGTTGCCACTTTTTGGATCAACATTAAAAGATGCGGTTAACCCGTTAATGACCGAGGTAGCTGTCCAGGTGTTGAACCAAAACCTAGGATTTGTGTGTGTGTTCAACCGTACGATTAGGCTTTCTCTTTAACCCCTTAAGGATACATGATGTGTGACATGTCATGATTCCCTTTTATTCCAGAAGTTTGGTCCTTAAGGGGTTAAAGGGACACTTTAGGCACCCAGACCACTTTAACTCATTAACCCCTTAAGACTGCAGCCAAATGTACAAGTTGTGATCAAAACAAAACCTGGCATTTGCGCTATATGTCTGTCCAACCGCAATTCACCTCTTTCATATTAAATGCACCCACACTTATTATATATCATTTTATTCAGGGGAAACAGGGCTTTCATTTAATATCAAATATTTATGTATGGAACATAATTTAATATGAATAAAATATTTTAAAAAATGGGAGAAAATAAGATTTTTTTTTTTTATTTTCTTAGTTGTATGTGACATTTTAACTGTGAATGTCAAAATACTGTTTGCGTTTACTGCTTGGTTTGTGACCAAGTGGCTACTAAAAAAGACTGGGCATACCCCATTTGCAATACCTTGGGTTGTCTACTTTTGCAAATGGTATGCCATCATGGGGGTAATTCTCATTCCTGAGCTACCATACAGTCTCAAAGGCAATGTAACCAATCTGGCAAATTTCAATGTGAAAAAAATGAAAAATGTAAAATGCTATATTTGACCCTGTAACTTCCCAAAACACCATAAAACCTATACATAGGGGGTACTGTTTTACATGTGAGACATCGCTGAATACAAATATGTGTATTTTATTGCAGTATAAGCAAACAGTATTGTGACATTCACAGACAGAATGTCACATAGAACTAAACATTTTTTAAAAATTCTCATCTTCTCCCGTTTTTTAATATTTTATTTATATTAAATTATGTTTTATACCTAAATATTTGATGTTAAATCAAAGCCCTGTTTCCCCTGAATAAAATGATATGTAATAAGTGAGGGTGCACATAAAATTAAAGAGGCGAATTACACCTGAACAGACATATAGCGCAAATTAAAGTTTTTGTTTACGTTTTGTTTTGATCACAACGTGTACATTTGGCTCAGTCCTTAAGGGGTTAAAGTGGTCTGGGTGCAGTGTCCATGACCCCTTAGTCCTGCAATGTAAATCATTGTGGTTTTAGAGAAACTGCAATGTTTGCATTGCAGGACTAACTAGAGGTGCTTCCAGGAGTTTAATCTAGGTCGCCTAAATGATGCTGGATGTTGTCACGTTCTTCATGAGGACATCCAGAATCAGTGAACCCCCGGAGTAAAGCATTGAGTCAATGCTTCCCTATGGGGAGGATTTAATGCGCATTAGGTCCCTCCATAAGATGACGTTGGAGGAGGTGGAGTGCCAACCCCATGCCGAGGGAGATTGCCGATGAAATTGGGTAAGTGAATAAAGGGTTTTTACCCCTTTATATTCCATGAGGGGAAAGGGCGGGGGAAGCCCTATATTCCTAACACCATAGAATCCCTTTAGGTGCCCCAATACATATTATATATAATTTTTAATGTTACAAGAGAATGGCCTCCTCCCCCTGGTTGGAGAATGTAAATCGTGCCTACTTGTGTAGCGACTTTCTGGAATCTACTTTGCCAATGTGGATGAGCTCACGTAGGGTGCTTCCGAACTACTATCAAACCCTATGGGAGTGATGTATATATAGTGCAGTTGTTACTTTCATCTTTTAAACAGTTTTGTGCGCATACTTTCTTTTTTATGGAACAAAAATGTTACTTATTTCTTTCCACATTTTTTTCTTAAATAATCAATCTTTCTGCCACTTTTTACGCCTCTTTCTTATTTGCTTATTTTTAAAGGGACACTATAGTCACCAGAACAACTACAGTTTATTGAATTTGTTCTGGTGAGTTGAATCATTACCTTCAGGCTTTTTGCTGTAAACACTGTCTTTTCAGAAAAAATGCAGTGTTTACATTACAGCCTAGTGATAACTTCACTGGCCACTCCTTAGATAGCTGTTAGAGATCCTTCCTGGGTCATGGCTGCCTAAAATGCATCCAAACATTCAGTATCTCCTCCCTCTGCATGCAGACACTGAACTTTCCTCATAGAGATTCGTTGATTCAATTCATCTCTATGAAGAGATGCTGATTGGCCAGGGCTGTGTTTGAATCATGCTGGCTCTGCCCCTGATCTGCCTCCTTGTCAGTCTCAGCCAATCCTATGGGGAAGCACTGTGATTGGATCAGGCTACCATTTCTGATGATGTCAGCAGACTGTTTGTTTTTCTGAGTCTAACAGCTTGCAGAGTTATAGCTTCAGGCTTGAATACAGTAAGATTTTTACTATATTAATGGAGGCATGAGGGGCCCAGGGGAGCTAGATGGTGGTTTTAACACTATAGGGTCAGGAATACATGTTTGTGTTCACGACCCTATAGTGATCCTTTAATGATGATTTTACCATTGTAGTCACAACAGTTCAGATTTTGAAGTCCTATGCTACTAGCCAGACCGTAAAATTTACTTGCCACTACAAGCCGCATACATACATATCAGGGGGGAATTTGTACTTGCCAAAGGCTAGTGGTGAGTGAAAACTTTGAGTCTTGGTCGCAAAATAAGAGAATTGGTTAATATTATTAGGCAAAAAAAATACTTTTACCGACATCTCTTTCTGACTTGGCTGTTAAAATCACAGAAACTAAAAACTCAATTCTCAAGTAAAAATCAATTAACATTACTGAAGACTGTTACAACTCAATTGGCCCATTGGACGAAACTGGAGAACTCGTGGCTAGGTCGCATCAATTCCATTAAGATTAACATATTGCCACTACTACTCCAATTGTTCCAGAACCTATAGCCAGGGGAGGGCTGGCAGCCTTAGGCCTGGGGGGCAAAACCAATCAAGTGGCCCATTGCACCACCAAATCAGTTCACCATCCATGCCCACCTTTTCCTGGTTTTATAACGGATATTGATGTTATGCTAATCAGTAGCTCTTTGCCATACCCGCTCCTTCACGGCTCCAGGCACTGCTTGTTGTGAGTGTGAGCCACTGTAAATTAGGGGCAGAGGGCACTTGCACTGCGGTAAAGATGGGGCTGGACAGGAGGAGAGTGCAGTGCAATCAGTGCACTCCCCTCCTGTGGGTCACCAGTAGACTGGTGCACCTGCCCAGGATCAGTGCCGGTGCAAGGATTTTTGCCGCCCTAGACAAAATAAAAATTTGCTGCCCCCCCATGTGACATCACAATGCCCCACCCATATGAACTAACGCCAGTGCTGCACACAGTGTGTGTTTACATTAAAAAGCCTGCAGGGACCAGCTATAGACACCAGAACCACTTCATTAAGCTATAGTGTCCCTTTAATGTGAGGTACATTATAGATTAGTGTCACTAATAATATACTAGATTGCCTACTTACAAGCAGATGAGGATGATGATGGGCTGCAGTTTGGCTCCACTGGTCTGGTGTAGAACAGGATCTCTGGAGGCTGTTTGCAGCTGTGGTCACAAAATTCAATGTTCTGGGAGAATTGGAAGCAGCTCCATTTTTTGGGGCCCCTTACACAGCTCAAGGTCTGGGCCCCAGGGCCTGACGGTGAGTATGCCCATAAGGCCCACTCATAAGTTCCACCCACCCATGAGTTCGCTCACAGGGAGTGGAGTGTGTAGGGGATGTGTTATGTGTTATTGTAGAGGATCTAATATGTGTGCTTATGGTATGTAGTGTATAGGGTTACCAGTTTGTGCAGGTGATGTAGTGTGTTTGTGTGTAGTGGAAGCAGTGTGTATTTGTGTATAAGGGATGTATTATGTGTTTCTGGTTGTGTGTAAGGGATGCATTGTGTGAATCTGTGTTTGTATGCATAAGGGATGCAAGGTGTGTGTCTGTATGTGTGTGCATTGAGTGTAAGAGATGCATTGTGTTTCTGTGTGTATGTAAGAAAAGAAGTGTGTGTGTTTGCATATGTGTGTACGGGTTTGCATTGTCTGTTTCTGTGTATGTGTGCAAAGGATGCATTGTCTTTGTGTGTAAGGGTTGCATTGTGTGTGTGTGTGTAATGGATGCATTGTGTGTTTCTCTGTGTGTAAGGGAAGCATGTTGTGTTTCTGTGTATGTATAGGGATGCATTGTGTGTGTGTGTGTGCGCGCGCGTAGTGTGAAAGAGCTCCCTGTCTTGGCCCCTGTCCTATAGAGCTGCCCCTTCTGTCCCGTAGAGCTCTCCCCTGCACCTTAGTGGTCTCTCCTCTCCCCCACCCTCCCCTAGCGGTCTCTTCTCACACTCACCCACCCTCCCTGTGCTCTTCTCACTCCTCCCTCTATGTGTTCTCCTCACACCCCCTGTGTTCGTCTTACCCCCCTCCTCCCTGTGTTCTTCATACTTCCCCCCTTGGTCGTCTTACTCCCCCACCTGTTCTTCTTAACCCCCTTCTTCTTATTGCTCCCCCTTCTTCTTCTTACCCCCCTTCTTCTTCTTCCTCTTCCTCCCCCTTCTTCTTCTTACTCCCCCCATTTCTTCATACTCACCCTTCTTCTTACCCCCTCTTCTTCTTCTTACTCCCCACTCTTCTTCTTCTTACTCCCCACTCTTTTCTTACTCA